CATGAGGACTGCAGATGTGGCCAGGGCAATAAATTGCAATGTCCGTACTGTGAGACGCCTAAGACAGCGCTACAGGGAGACAGGGAAGACAGCTGATCGTCCTCGCAGTGGCAGAACACGTGTAACAATACCTGCACAGGATCGGTACATCCGAACATCACACCTGCGGGACAGGTACAGGATGGCAACAACAACTGCCTGAGTTACACCAGGAATGCACAATCCCTCCATCAGTGCTCAGACTGTCCGCAATAGGCTGAGAGAGACTGGACTGAGGGCTTGTAGGCCTGTTGTAAGGCAGGTCCTCACCAGACATCACCGGCAACAACGTCGCCTATGGGCACAAACCCACCGTCGCTGGACCAGACAGGATTGGCAAAAAGTGCTCTTCACTGATGAGTCATGGTTTTGTCTCACCAGGGTTGATGGTAGGATTCACATTTATTGTCGAAGGAATGAGTGTTACACCGAGGCCTGTACTCTGGAGCGGAAAATAGTAAAAATAAAGAAAACCCCTGGAAAATCCCTGGAATGAGTAGGGGTTTACAAACTTATGACTGGTAGTATACATATATATATATATATATATATATATATATATATATATATATATATATATATATATATATAATGTTTACAAAAATATATACAGTTGAAGTCGGAAGTTTACATACACTTAGGTTGGAGTCATTAAAACTAGTTTTTCAACCACTCCACAAATGTCTTGTTAACAAACTATAGTTTTGGCAAGTCAGTTAGGACATCTACTTTGTGCATGACACAAGTAATTTTTCCAACAATTGTTTACAGACAGATTATTTAATTTATAATTCACTGTATCACAATTCCGGTGGGTCAGAAGTTTACATACACTAAGTTGACTGTGCCTTTAAACAGCTTGGAAAATTCCAGAAAATGATGTCATGGCTTTAGAAGCTTCTGCTAGGCTAAATGACATTTAGTATTTCAAGGGCTACCTTCAAACTCAGTGCCTCTTTGCTTACACATCATGGGAAAATCAAAAGAAATCAGCCAAGACCTCAGAAAAAACATTGTAGACCTCCACAAGTCTGGTTCTAAAATGTAAAAAATAGTAAAAAGAAAGAAAACCCCTGGAAAACCCCTGGAATGAGTAGCGGTGTCCAAACTTTTGATTGGTACTGTTTAATAGGCCTAGCCTATAGAAAGCTGATGGGATCCTCCTCTTTTTAATAGAGGCCATCAATTTTTTCTCACACAATTGCATAGCCGATAGAAATGTTGCGCAACATGAGCTCATGGGCTCTCATGAAGTGTTTGATTCGATTTTTGATACATTTGCATTGATGTCAGAGTGATTAGAGGGACAATAGAGTGCTGAGTACCAGGCAGTAAGCAAGTTTGGTAGGCTACTAATGACCATCAGCAGCATCAGAGCTTGGAGAAGCCTAATTACCATGAATAAACAGTCATCATGACTGCCATCATGACTCATGACCGCTAGTGTGCCGGTATTACGGTCACCGTAACAGCCCTACCCATAACATGATGCAGCCACCACTTGAAAATATGGAGAGTGATACTCAGTACTGTGTTATATTGGATTTACCCCATACATAACACTCTGTATTCCGGAAAAAAAGTTAATTGCTTAGCCAAAGTGTTGACAGTATTACTTTAGTGCCTTGTTGCAAACAGGATGCATGTTTTGGAATATTTTTACTCTTTACAGGCTTCCTTCCTTTCACTCTGTCAATTAGGTTAGTATTGTGGAGTAACTACTATGATGTTGATCCATCCTCAACTTCTCCTATCACAGCCATTAATAACACTCTATTGACTCACCCGTGCGTCAATCTAAGTAACATAAAACAATCCCCATAAAAGATAAGTCAGTTTAAGATCCAACGCTTATGTTGGCCGTTCGCATCTGCCGTGGCAGGTCGCCGAGCTACAGCAGTGTTTGTCAGACCATGAGACATCCCGAAAATCTGCCTTCTCACGAAAACATCTGTAGGAATTGCCAATGGACACGGGCTACTCGTCTATCTGTGATGGGCTATATGACCAATAGAAGACATTAGTAGATATTACAGGTATCTGGCCTATAGGAGCTTTGTCAGTTGGTGCTGGGGCTGGGGCTATCTGGGCCATAGGAAAAGAGTGGTGCTGCAGCCTGCGTAGTCCTTCGCATCCACCAGGAGTTCCAAGATGCCAAAGGAACCCACCCTGGAGGGGTTTGAGAGCTTGTCTGCAGAAATAAACTGACATTTACATTTTAGTCATTTAGCAGACGCTCTTATCCAGAGCAATTTACAGTAGTGCTGTCATACTTTTTTGTACTGGTCCCCCGTAGGAATCAAAACCACAACCCTGGCGTTGCAAGCACCTTGCTCTACCAGCTGAACCACACAGGACCAGGTGGACAGACAAACAAAATATGAGCTGCAATACATCTGACCCACTTTCATATCGATACCATCATTTGCTAAATTGAAACTGAATATTCACTGCCCTCTTACACCTTACCTTTTGATTATACACTGAACAAAAATAGAAATGCAACATGCAACAATTTCAAAGAGTTACAGTTCAAATAAGGAAATCAGTCTATTTTAAGGATTTCACATGACTGGGAATACAGATATGCATCTGTTGGTCACAGATACCTTAAAAGAAAGGTAGGGGAGTGATCCTCAACACAGGGGCCCCACAAGGGTGCGTGCTCCGCCCCCTCCTGTACTCCCTGTTCACCCATGACTGCGTGGCCACGCACGTCTCGAACTCAATCGTCAAGTTTGCAGATAACACAACAGTGGGTTTGATTACTAACGACGACGAGACAGCCTACAGGGAGGAGGTGAGGACCTTGGTGTAGTGGTGCCAGGAAAATAACCTTTCCCTCAACGTCAACAAAATGAAGTAGCTGATCGTGGACTTCAGGAGACAGCAGAGGGAGCACGGAACCCCTTCCACATCGACAGGCCGCAGTGGGGAAGGTGAAAAGCTTCAAGTTCCTCGCCGTACACATCACTGACAATCTGAAATGGTCCACCCACACAGACAGTGTGGTGAATAAGACAGAGCCTCTTCAACCTCAGGAGCCTAAAGAAATTTGGCTTGGACCATGAGACCAAGGTGGTTGAGGTGATGGCGGCGGTTGAATGGCACGACAATGGGCCTCAAGATCTCGTCACGGTATCGCTGTGCATTCAAATTGCCATCGATAAAATGCAATTGTGTTCGTTGTCCGTAGCTTATAACCCCACCGCCACCATGGGGCACTCCGTTCACAACTTTGACATCAGCAAACTGCTCGACCACACAGCGCCATAGTCTGCCATCTGCCCGGTACAGTTGAAACCGGGATTCATCCGTGAAGAGCACACTTCTCCAGCGTGACAGTGGCCAACGAAGGTGAGCATTTGCCCACTGATGTTAGTTATGATGCAGAACTGCAGTCAGGTCAAGACCCTGGTGAGGATGACTAACACTCAGATGAGCTTCCCTGAGATGGTTTCTGACAGTTTGTGTAGAAATTCTTCTGTTGTGCAAACCCAGTTTCATCAGCTGTCCGATGGCTCTCAGATGATCCTGCAGGTGAAGAAGCCGGTTGTGGAGGTCCTGGGCTGGCGTGGTTACACGTGGTCTGCGGTTGTGAGGCCGGTTGGACATACTGCTAAATTCTCTAAAACAACATTGGCTTATGGTAGAGAAATGAACATTCAATTATCTGGCAACAGCTCTGGTGGACATTCCTGCAGTCAGCATGCCAATTGCATGCTCCTTCAAAACTTGAGACTGAAATGATTCAGAACGGTATTGGGAAGTGATAAGAAGATCACCAGGCAATAATTGTGTATGACCTTCTGTGTAGAAAATAACATTATTGCGGTGCTTTTTCCCCCAGTCCCTGGTCCTGTCCACTCACTGCTCTAATAAGTCCTACACAGCTTGTGTTCCTGAGAATCTTAGGTTTCACAGGAATGGGGTCATAATAGCTTATAGCTCCAACCGTTCAAAAGTTAGAGCCACATTTGCAGGAGAAAAACAGTAAGCCCTCTGTTTATCACAACCGCATTCTATGAATAGTTTTATGAAATTAGGGACATTTTTATTGTATACATTTTCAAATCAGCCGAACCCTTTGGGAAAGGCGGCAATGGCAGTCGGGTTGCCTCCCACAATGTAAACTGTAAAATGTCCAGCCTACACTTTCCATGTGGATCCAATTAGCAAGGTAGCTAGTGTCGTGTATTAGGATTATGGAATGTTGTTTATCTTTGTTCAAATGTAGCAGTTGGAGGGTGACGCCCCAGGGGGGATAGGTGATTGGACGAAAAAGGGAGCAACCCATTTATTGCCATTGTTTATAAGTAGGACTTAGACAAAGAGCGGGCAGAAGCATTCAGATTAATTTGGGAAGGTGCTTCTCCAGACACCGCGGGTCTGTAACTTATGCTGTAAACGTGTGATATTAATAAAAGCCTCTAATCACGGTGCAGCCTAAGCGGACTCTTTGTTCATCAGCAATAATTGCCAGCATTCACCCGATACGACACTAGCTAGCGTCGACTGTAGGATACTGACATTACATACATTTACTTAGGTAACTGTACATAATAAAGCAATGTCAGAATCGCAAATATAGCTAAATGTCACGTCAGTATCCTAGTATTATAGCTAATTGCGTCAAAGTTAGCTAACTAACTAACTAACTAACTAACTAGCTTCCTACAAGCTAATGTTAGCTAGCTGAATCCCAGACATAGGGGAAAAGTGTAGCTGGCTATGTTGGAACATTGTTTACATTGTGGGAGGCAACGTCTGACCTGGTCCTAGGGCAGCGTTTCCACTTTACGATTCTGACATTACTTTTTATGTAGCTAGTTACAGGTATCTATGTCAGTAGCTAGTTAGCTATCCTAGTTGTGTCAAGGCTAGTAGTTAGCTAGCACCAAAATATTATGTTCTTTACTTTTAATAATAATAGGTAGCTAGAAGAATAACTATTTAGAGACTTACTTCTTGCAATGTTGCTCCCTGCTGCCGCCTGCCTCTGCCGGATGCTAGATGTATGGGACAGAACCTTGATGGAAGATGACAGCTGCAAATCCACTGACTGGTGTAAGTCTAGCTAGCTAGCTAACCTGATTAAGTTTACTGTGCATTTGCCAAATCAGACAAAGTGATTGTTCTGAAGGAAGACAAACAAGTGGAAGTGCAAACAAAAAATTGCTGCCTTGCAGCCAACTACTACTGTACAATCTCTCTTGCTTTTGGCCAAGTATAACTACCTACCTCTCTCCTGTGCATGTCAACATGAGGAGGATTTGACTCATTTCTCTCTGCCTCCTTCTTTCCACTCCTCTCCTCTTTTGACCTCACCCTCTCACCGTCCCCCCCTACTCACAAGGCAGGCAATACGCTTGACCTCATCTTCACTAGATGCTGCTCCTCTACTAATCTCACTGCAACTCCCCTCCATGTCTCCGACCACTACTTTGTTTCCTTTTCTCTCTCGCTCTCCTCCCACACTACTCACTCTGCCCCTACACAGATGGTAATGCGCCGCCGCAACCTTCGCTCTCTCTCTCCCACTACTCTCTCCTCTTCCATCCTATCATCTCTTCCCTCTGCTCAATCCTTCTCCCTCCAATCTCCTGATTCTGCCTCCTCAACCCTCCTCTCCTCCCTTTCTGCATCCTTTGACTCTCTGTGTCCCCTATCCTCCCGGCCGGCTCGGTCCTCCCCTCCAGCTCCGTGGCTTGATGACTCACTGCGAGCTCACAGAACAGAGCTCCGGGCAGCGGAGCGGAAATGGAAGAAAACTAAACTCCCTGCCGACCTGGCATCTTTTCACTCCCTCCTCTCTACATTTTCTTCATCTGTTTCTGCTGCTAAGGCCACCTTCTACCACTCTAAATTCCAAGCATCTGCCTCTAACCCTAGGAAGCTCTTTGCCACATTTTCCTCCCTCCTGAATCCTCCCCCCCCCCCCCCCCCCCTCCTCTCTCTCTGTGGATGACTTCGTCAACCACTTTGAAAAGAAGGTTGACGACATCCGATCCTCGTTTGTTAAGTCTAATGACACTGCTGGTCCTGCTCACACTGCCCTACCCTATGCTTTGACTTCTTTCTCCCCTCTCTCTCCAGATAAAATCCTGCGACTTGTGACTGCAGGCCGCCCAACAACCTGCCCGCTTGACCCCATCCCCTCCTCCCTTCTCCAGACCATCTCCGGTGACCTTCTCCCCTACCTCACCTCGCTGATCAACTCATCCTTGACCGCTGGCCATGTCCCTTCCGTCTTCAAGAGAGCGAGAGTTGCTCCCCTTCTCAAAAAACCAACACTCGACCCCACTGATGTCAACAACTACAGACCAGTATCCCTTCTTTCTTTTCTTTCCAAAACTATTGAGCGTGCCGTCTTTAGCCAACTCTCTTGCTATCTCTCTCAGAATGACCTTCTTGATCCAAACCAATCAGGTTTCAGGACTGGTCATTCAACTGAGACTGCTCTTCTCTGTGTCACGGAGACTCTCCGCACTGCTAAAGCTAACTCTCTCTCCTCTGCTCTTGTCCTTCTAGACCTGTCTGCTGCCTTTGATACTGTGAACCATCAGATCCTCCTCTCCACCCTCTCCGAGCTGGGCATCTCCGGCGCGGCTCACTCCTGGATTGCGTCCTACCTGACCGGTCGCTCCTACCAAGTGGCGTGGCGAGAAGCTGTCTCCGCACCACGTGCTCTCACCACTGGTGTCCCCCAAGGCTCAGTTCTAGGCCCTCTCCTTTTCTCCCTATACACCAAGTCACTTGGCTCTGTCATATCCTCACATGGTCTCTCCTATCATTGCTACGCTGACGATACACAACTAATCTTCTCCTTTCCCCCTTCTGATAACCAGGTGGCGAATCGCATCTCTGCATGTCTGGCAGACATATCAGTATGGATGACGGATCACCACCTCAAGCTGAACCCTGGCAAGACGGAGCTGCTCTTCCTCCCGGGGAAGGACTGCCCGTTCCATGATCTCGCCATCACGGTTGACAACTCCGCTGTGTCCTCCTCCCAGAGTGCGAAGAGCCTAGGCGTGACCCTGGACAACACCCTGTCGTTCTCCGCCAACATCAAGGCGGTGACCCGCTCCTGCAGGTTCATGCTCTACAACATTCGGAGAGTACGACCCTGCCTTACACAGGAAGCGGCACAGGTCCTAATCCAGGCACTTGTCATCTCCCGTCTGGACTACTGCAACTCGCTGTTGGCTGGCCTCCCTGCCTGTGCCATTAAACCCCTACAACTCATCCAGAATGCCGCAGCCCGTCTGGTGTTCAACCTTCCCAAGTTCTCTCACGTCACCCCCCTCCTCCGCACACTCCACTGGCTTCCAGTTGAAGCTCGCATCCGCTACAAGACCATGGTGCTTGCCTATGGAGCAGTGAGGGGAACGGCACCTCTGTACCTTCAGGCTCTGATCAGTCCCTACACCCAAACGAGGGCATTGCGCTCATCCACCTCTGGCCTGCTGGCTCCCCTTCCTCTGCGGAAGCATAGTTCCCGCTCAGCCCAGTCAAAACTGTTCACTGCTCTGGCACCCCAATGGTGGAACAAGCTCCCTCACGACGCCAGGACAGCGGAGTCACTCACCACCTTCCGGAGACATTTGAAACCCCACCTCTTTAAGGAATACCTGGGATAGGATAAAGGAATCCTTCTACCCACCCCCCCCCCCCCCCCCCCCCCCCCAATTGTAAAGTGGTTATCCCACTGGCTATAGGGTGAACGCACCAATTTGTGAGTCGCTCTGGCTAAGAGCGTCTGCTAAATGACGTTAATGTGCCCTTGAGCAAGGCACTTAACCCTAATTGCTCCTGTAAGTCGCTCTGGATAAGAGCGTCTGCTAAATGACTAAAATGTAAATGTAAATGTACCAATTTAACCGTGCGTGACTGGCAGTAGTAGTAGGAGAAACACAAATCAAAGATGAACTGTCATTGGTCGATTACAATCAGACCGCCTGGTGACGTTATGCGGCGGGCCAAAAACACCAACCCATCTGAACAGGCTAAAATTCCAGGCGCTTTTTTCAAACAGCAGAGGTAAAGAAGGTTTTCGATACTCCATTGTCCAGGAGAGAGGCTGCCCGGAAGTTACTCCAGCTTCGGCAAGAATCCCGCAGTGTGGCAGACGATGCAGTGGATTTCCGAACGTTGGCAGCTGAGTGTGCCTCGAACCCGGAAGCGCTGTTCAACATGTTCCTGCACGGAGTATCGGAGGAAGTAAAGGATGAGCTTGCAGCTCCGGAACTACTGACGGATCTCGACTCACTCATCGCCTTGACCATTCGGATCGATGGGCGACTACGGGAATGAAGAAGAAGAGGAAGGATTCCACCTCACCTCCGAGGCATCCCAGAAGTCCCCGACTTCTCCATTGCCGAGAGAACCCGAGTTCCCCCGAGAGTCTCCGAAGTCTGCCGATTCACCTCTTCGCGGGCCGATGCTACTAGGCAGAGCTAGGTTGTCTCCAGCCGAATGGCAATACAGGCTTCACACGAAGAGTTGCCTGTATTGCGTGACTACTGGTCATTTTCGGTCCACTTGTCCACTAAAAGACCAAGACCGGTAGGAGCGAGTACTCTGGTGGGCCATACGGATAACTTTTCCTCTCCCCTTACTCGCACCCACTTTCATACCATCTTGCTGTGGGGGTACCAGTCGAAAACTATCCTGGTACTCATCGACTCTGGGGCCGATGAGAGCTTTATGGATGCTACCCTGGCATCCGAGCTGGGCATCCCCACTCAGCCCCTCTCCATTCCCATGGACGTTAGAGTGCTGGACGGGCACTCTATAGGCCGGGTCACCCACAATACCACCCCCATCAACCTACGAGTATCAGGGAACCACAGCGAGACGATCCAATTCCTGCTAATTAAGTCTCCTCAGGTTCCTGTGGTATTGGATTTCTCTTGGCTCCAGCGACACAACCTCTTTATTGTCTGGTCTACTGGTGCCATCATGGGCTGGAGCCTGTTCTGCCACTCTCATTGCCTGAAGTCAGCGCAGACTGCCCCGGGACATCTTCCTGGGGGCTTGGAAGTTGCCTCGGACCGCTCCACCATTGCCGCGGAGTACCAGGACCTCCGGAAGGTGTTCAGTAAGGCCCGGGCCACTTCACTTCTGTCGCACGACCCTACGACTGCGGAATCAACCTTCTCCCAGGCACCACTTCGCTCCGGAGACGACTGTACTCGCTGTCAGGAATTGGAGACCAAGGCTATGAAGACCTACATGGAGGACTCCCTAGCTGCCGGGTTAATCCATCCTTCTGCCTCCCCCGCCGGCGCAGGGTTCTTCTTTGGGGAGAAGAAGGACAAAACGCTCCGCCCGTGCATCGACTACCGGGGCCTCAATGACATCACAGTGAAGAACAGCTACCCGCTACCACTCATCTCCTTGGCCTTGAAGCCGCTCCAGGGGGCCAACGTGTTCTCCAAGCTGGACCTACGGAACGCCTACCACCTGGTGCTGATACGGGAGGGGGACGAGTGGTGGACTGCCTTCAACACGGCCAGTGGTCACTACGAGTATCTGGTCATGCCATTTGGCCTTACCGATGCTCCAGCTGGGGGCCCCTGTTAATGATGCTCTCCGCGACATGTTAAAACAGTTCGCCTTCGTCTACCTCGACGACATCCTCGTCTTCTCCCGTTCCGCCCAAGAACACGTGCTCCACGTCCGACAGGTCCTCCATCACCTCCTGGAGAACCAGCTATTTGTGAAAGCGGAGAAATGCGAATTCCATCACTCCATCATCTCCTTCCTCGGGTACATCATCGCTGCAGGGAATGTACAGATGGATCCCGGGAAGGTGAGAGCGGTGTAAAATTGGCCCCAGCCTACTTCCAAAGTGCAGCGGCAACGTTTCCTGGGATTCTCCAACTTTTATAGCTGCTTTATCCGGGGTTACAGCACCCTAGCTTCCCCTTTGTCTGCACTCACCTCTCCCTAGGTTCCGTTCACATGGTCTCCAGCTGCTGACTGGGCGTTCCGGGACCTCAAACACCATTTCACCACTGCTCCCATCTTTGTTCATCCTGACTCGTCCTGCCAGTTCGTGGTGGAGGCCGATGCTTCGGATGTCGGAGTGGGGGCGGTCCTGTCCCAGCGTTGGGCCCTGGACCTCAAGTTACAGCCTTCTTCTCCCATCGCCTCAACACCACGGAGAGGAATTACGATGTGGGGAATGAGCTTCTCGCGGTGAAGATGGCGTTGGAGGAGTGGAGGCACTGGCTGGAGGAGGCGGAACATACATTCATTGTGTGGACAGACCACAATAACTTTGAATATCTTCGCACCGCCAAGTGTCTGAATTCCAGGTAAGCTAGGTGGGTCCTGCTTTTCACATGGTTCAACTTCCCTCTCATACCGACCGGGATCCAAGAATGTCAAGCCAGATGCGCTGTCACGCTGCTATGACCCCGCGGCTACACTCCCAGAATCCGAGACCGTCCTTCCCACCTCGTGCTTGGCGATGGCTCTCAGTTGGGGAATAGGGAAGGGGGGGGGGGGGGGTTGTTCCTGACACTGTCCACTTCTCGGTCCTGGAGTGGGCCTCCAGGCTTGCCTGTCACCCGGGCTCCCGTCGGACCCTGGCCTTTGTGCGACAACGCTTTTGGTAGCCTACCATGCTTCCTGACATCTCCACATTCGTCGCCGCCTGCACGATCTATGCGCAGAACAAGACTCCTCGGCATGCTCGGGCTGGTCTCCTCCAACCTCTGCCTGTTCCTCACTGTCCCTGGTCTCACTAATCCCTGGACTTTGTCACAGGTCTTCCCCCGTCTGATGGCAACACCACCATCCTGACAGTTGTGGACCAGTTTTCCAAAGCCACCCACTTCATTCCTCTCCCCAAGCTACCCTCCACCAAAGAGACGACCCACCTCATGGTGCAGCACATCTTCCGGATCCATGGACTCCCAGTGGACATGGTCTCCGACCGGGGTCCTCAGTTCACGTCCCGGTTCTGGAAGGTGTTCTGCACACTCATTGTGTCGTCGGTCAGCCTGTCCTCCGGCTTCTACCCTCAGTCCAACGCCCAGTCGGAGCAAGCCAACCAAGACCTGGAGACGACTCTGCGCTGCCTGGTCTCCGCCAACAACACCACCTGGAGCCAGCAACTAGTGTGGGTCAAATACGTCGCAACACCCTTCCCTGCTCTGCCATGGGTCTTTCACCCTTTGAGTGTTCCCTGGGTTATCAGCCCCTGTTCTTCCCGGAGTAAGAGGAAGAGGTCGGCATACCCTGAGACTGCCTGCCGTTCTGTACCTTTTGGACTCTGATCTGGATTACGGACCTGCCCTTGACCTGTCGTTTGCCTGCCCCCTGTTTTTGTAGTAAACTTTTGTTACTTCAACACTGTTTGCGTCTGGGTCTTCTCCTGAAACGTGATAGAATACCTGTTGTATTCGGCGCATGTGACAAATAACATTTTATTTTATTTTATCATAATTTTCACAATTTGAGTGTTATTTTGACCTCATAGTGTGGAAATATCAGTAAATTTGTGTTGTATACTTGTGTTGTCCCATGTACCACCTGGAGTTCATGTGGTAAAATGAATGAGAGCGGAAGTTTTAAATAAGACTGGGGCCTCTCCAAGTGCTCTTTGGTGTGCTTGTAATCCTCAGGAACAGACTACATTCACCTGGAAGTGGCCATAAAACGCAACTAGGCAATGCAAACTAAAATAGGCCAGAGAGCCATGAAGCCTATAACCCTGGTAACTACAACAATTACACAGGTATTAGTAACTTGAAACAACAAGTTTGCACTGGGCATTTTATATGTGTCCTACTTTGTAAGGACACAACACTGGTCTGGTTGAGGCATTGCATTTACTTGATTATGGAACAAGAACAATTACTTGTAAGATTTAAAATTCACCTTAACATAGTTTCTGCCTCCACATTTCCAAACCAAACTTTCAGATGGGGGCCAAAGTTTTCTCCATGTACTTCTAGCATGGCTACATGTCCTCCACCATTCACCTAAAAGGACACGTTCAACATTAATTCAATCAAACCATCATATCAACATTACACTTTTTTGTTTTGTTTTTTTACTACCCTCACACACACACTTCTTATTCTGAAAACTGGAATGATCTACCTACAAGGGGAGTCTACCAATAGTAGTAGTTGTAGTACTGTATTATTTGGGTACTATATTGTACAGTACTCTTATACAGTACTCATTTCCCCCATCCACGTCTCTTAAATGGTACAGTGACAATTTACATAAAAAACCCACACTTTCTTGTCTTATTGACAGGAACAGAAAACAAGGTGCAAATCAGCCTTGAATCACTGCAGTTCCTTATTCCTCATTTGATTTTTTTGTCAGCTTCAGTAGTGTTAAGACCTCACCTCCAGTCCTGTGATGACAGGTATTGGGCTGACCGAGCCCTGAACGCAGGCCAAGCCCTCAGAGAACGTATACTCCACTGCTTCTGTACCGATTATGGTCCAACATGATCCATCATTCAGCACCTCTCTGCTCTGCTCCCTCAGACTGGATGAGACCTGGGAAGACCCAAGGTGAAGAGGTTAACGCCTCCATGCCCCATTCCCATTGAACCCCCCCCTCCCATCCCCACCCCCCACCCCCCATTCCACAACTGTCTCACTGCTAGTGAACCCAGGGCCTGAGGAGAAGGTTCAGTGACACTGTCCCTTAGCTACTAATGTAGGTCTGTGACCTAATTCTGGGCTAAATAATGATTGCGAGAGCTAGCGAGAGTTATAGCATGGACCTGTATCATCATGTCCCTAGAGTGACATTTTACCTCTCATAAGGACTTTTCACACTACTGAGTCAAACCGAGCAAAGCCAAACCAAGCTGTACTAAGCTGGTCTGGTTACCCAATACCACCCACTATTGCTGGAACCGTGCTGAAAAGGATAATGTGAACAGAAAATATCAGAGCAAGCGCAGGCTTGGGTCGGCACAATCGTGTGAATAGGGTAATATTAACCTGGTACTGTATGATTCTCTCATTAGACAGGCAGAGGTACATCTGGCTGTTGTCCTTGAACTGAAAGGCACACTTGTGGAGCTGGGAGACGGGCTCGTCCACATCCAGGATGGTGTGCTGCTTGTTCACCTTGCGGATCACCTGGAGGGAATCCAAAAACATCAAGGATCTAACAGAATCCATCATCCTTTTGACACATCATTGGCCTCCTCTCTTTAAAAAAAATAAACTACAACAATAAGAAATATATGTACTAGTATGATAGGAATCTAATGGAATCCATCATCCAATATGACACACCGTTGGTTTCCTCTCTTTTTAAAATAAACTGGACCTTTATTAAATCTATATACGACATGATAGCTTTGTTAATAACATGACTTAGATGGGCTTAGATGATGTTATGTCTGGAGGAGGCCCCTGAATAAGATTGTTTCTTCCTGTCAGGGCAAGCCAAGGTATCATCTTCACATCATAGAGAACTCCTGGCTGGTCCTAAGCTACACTCTTAGACAAAAAGGTGCTATCTAGAACCTAAAAACGGTTCTTCGGCTGTCCTTTTGGTTCCAGGTAGAACCCTTTTGAGTTCCATGTAAAACCCTTTCCACAGAGGGTTCTACATGGAACTGAAAGGGTTCTACCTGTAACCAAAAAGGGTTCTTCAAAGGAGAACTATGTGGACAGCCAAAGAACCCTTTTTGAACCATTTTTTCTAAGCGTGTACCAGAGAGAGCATCACTGGGGTTGCAGTCTACAGCATGACGGTGTGCTACCACTATTTCATCTCCCTCCAAAGCCCTGAGCTGAACCAAACCGTAAGCAAACACAGTGAACGTGGTAGAGAGCACGCTAGAGTTTAAATAGGAAAATATACAAGCCACTCCAAAAGAAAATAAAACAGTCAGCAATTTACCTCAACTAAAATAACATGTATAGGTGTACAATGTAGGTGTATGTTACTCTAAACCATCAGCTGTATTATTCAAATGCCAATTTGGGGGTACGTGAAAGCGGTCTGATCACCCAATTGCCATGAGGGGTTGCCTAAAAATAATCCCATCCTATGAACATGAGCAAGACAATAATAACAATAGAATTCTGCTGTGCAGCAAACCATATAACATCTGCTCAGAGTTCTTACGAGAAGGAAAAACTATAACACGATTATTTTCCCCAATTATGAAATACAGTGGAATTAAGGTGGTCAGACTACAGCATGTAAAGAATACTGAACTGCAGCTACCAAGGTCTCCAGTATAATGGTACCATTGAGGTGATATCCAATTATTGTGCATGTGCGAGTGTTTACCATTGGGGGCAGGGCCACCCCGGAGTCAGTGCAGACCAGCTGAACCACACAGCCGTAGCAGATGAAGCCCTCACACACCGTGAACTCTCCTGAGTCAGCATGCTGGTCCTCGACTGCGCACACAGACAGACAGACAGACAGACAGACAGACAGACAGACAGACAGACAGACAGACAGACAGACAGACAGACAGACAGACAGACAGACAGACAGACAGACAGACAGACAGACAGACAGACAGACAGACAGACAGACAGACAGACAGACAGACAGACAGACAGACAGACAGACAGAACAGACAGACAGACAGACAGACAGACAGACAGACAGACAGACAGACAGACAGACAGACAGACAGACAGACAGACAGACAGACAGACAGACAGACAGACAGACAGACAGACAGACAGACAGACAGACAGACAGACAGACAGACAGACAGACAGACAGACAGACAGACAGACAGACAGACAGACAGACAGACAGACAGACAGACAGACAAATAAGTTAAAACATAATGTAAGTGAATGAGTAGCAGTAGGATGAAAACATGAAAAACAGATGAGTCTATGGAGTCTACTTCTGAGGTGAGCTTGATCTTAGTTTTTGGGATATGATTCCAATCAGAGAAAGGTTGCAAAGTCTGTCTTGGAATACATTACTGCATTAGCAAAGTTTTTTATTTATTTCATGATGGAAAACAAATATTGTCCCAGCATTACCACCAGCTAGAAGATTTACGTATTCCTTTCATAAGGGCTCTGACAAGTCATTCTGCCCACAGCAGTAAAGAGAGAGAGAGTGTGTAGATGGAGGACTGAGAGACAGCGGTTCAGACAGCCGTTCATACCTAGAGTGACTGTAAATGCGGTCCACTGTCTGGCACTGGCTACAAAGGCCCCTCGTTCTACGGCCAGGTAACGTGTGCTGACCGTTTGGGACCGCAAGCGGTTGAACAGAGCCACCCTCGACCCCGCGGAAATACACACTGCAAATGGACACACACGCAAACATACAGACGTGTGTACACACACACACACACATAGCCGTAGTATGCAGCATGACAAATACATTTCACTTCCACATGTTGTGCACATGACGCATTTCCCTACCTCAAATACACATACATGTATTTGTATGTATGAAAAAAAGTATGAAAAAAAATAAATGTATGCACTCACTAACTGTAAGTCGCTCTGGATAAGAGCGTCTGCTAAATGACTAAAATGTCAAATGTAAATAAATACACATCACAAATAAGCCCACAAATAAGCATACACCATTCTCATTAATGACTGATGCAGCATGACAATTGTGGGTATGTTTTCCTTTCACACACAGTGCACCGTGACGCATTCTCCTACGGGTGAGAAATTCGACATTCATCCTACGGGTGATCTCAGCTGTCAAACCTCTCTGGCGCCTCTCCCTTTTATCTCGCAAGGGGTAGGAGCCTATGTCAACACAACTGGACTCGTATTGTGTGCTCTTAGATCATAAGGTCAAATGTCTGGCCTAACTAGGAGTGGCAACCTGCACCTCCACTCTAGCCCTACTGTGACCCTGGGGACTGTGGCACTTTAGGATCACCTTTCACTCACAGTCAGCGTTCTTCATAGACTGCCTCTTCTGGGACGGTTTGGAGATAACTTTGATCAGTTTACTGAGGAAGGAGCCAATCTCCTGCCCGTTGCCAAGGAAGAGCTTGAGGACCAGGCGAAAGTGCTTCCTTTTGTCTGTGTCGGAGATGTACAGGGACTTGGCGCAGGCAAACATCTGTTAAAAGAAAAAGCAAACATTCAGCAGTGCCTCATACGCTGTGTTTGTTCTGTCAACAGTCTCTTGTAATAAAATGTTTTGAAACCTTGTCTGGGTCATTATAGCGGCAGGGTAGGTTACTTTCTAAATGTAATCATTACAGTTACTAGTTCCATGTCTGAAATTGTAATCAGTAAGGTAACTTTTGGATTACCCAAACTCAGTAATCGGATTACTTTTAGATTATTTTCCACTTAAAGGTACAATCAGCAGTTGCTACATCCATTTTCTGATAAATGAATTATATATACCCAATGATTCTTGTAGAATATAACTTATAAATGAGCTTACTTCAACTGTTGTACCCCATCAGAACCCAAAAATATAAGCTTGTTTTACTCCAATGTTTGTAAACAAAATAAATGTAAACAAACACTATATTGCCAAAACATGGTTAAAACTATCATTATTATATCATGGATAGTCAGTCCTTGTATCCATAGCTCTGTCTATGAATTTGAGAGTGGTTAAAGCTGCAATATGTTACTTTTTGGGCGACCCAATCAAATTCAAATAGAAATGTGTCTTATAGATATGTAATTCTCATTGAAAGCAAGTCTAAGAAGCTGACTTTGAATACGCCTTTGATAAAGTACGACTGGAATTTACAGTGGGGGAAAAAAGTATTTAGTCAGCCACCATTTGTGCAAGTTCTTCCATTTAAAAAGATGAGAGAGGCCTGTAATTTTCATCATAGGTACACGTCAACTATGACAGACAAATTGAGAACAGAAAATCCAGAAAATCACATTGTAGGATTTTTAATGAATTTCTTTGCAAATTATGGTGGAAAATAAGTATTTGGTCACCTACAAACAAGCAAGATTTCTGGCTCTCACAGACCTGTAACTTCTTCTTTAAGAGGCTCCTCTGTCCTCCACTCGTTACCTGTATTAATGGCACCTGTTTGAAATTGTTATCAGTATAAAAGACACCTGTCCACAACCTCAAACAGTCACACTCCAAACTCCACTATGGCCAAGACCAAAGAGCTGTCAAAGGACACCAGAATCAAAATTGTAGACCTGCACCAGGCTGGGAAGACTGAATCTGCAATAGGTAAGCAGCTTGGTTTGAAGAAATCAACTGTGGGAGCAATTATTAGGAAATGGAAGACATACAAGACCACTGATAATCTCCCTCGATCTGGGGCTCCACGCAAGATCTCACCCCGTGGGGTCAAAATTATCACAAGAACGGTGAGCAAAAATCCCAGAACCACACGGGGGGACCTAGTGAATGACCTGCAGAGAGCTGGGACCAAAGTAACAAAGCCTACCATCAGTAACACACTACGCCGCCAGGGACTCAAATCCTGCAGTGCCAGACGTGTCCCCCTGCTTAAGCCAGTACATGTCCAGGCCCGTCTGAAGTTTGCTAGAGTGCATTTGGATGATCCAGAAGAGGATTGGGAGAATGTCATATGGTCAGATGAAACCAAAATAGAACTTTTTGGTAAAAACTCAACTCGTCGTGTTTGGAGGACAAAGAATGCTGAGTTGCATCCAAAGAACACCATACCTACTGTGAAGCATGGGGGTGGAAACATCATGCTTTGGGGCTGTTTTTCTGCAAAGGGACCAGGACGACTGATCCGTGTAAAGGAAAGAATGAATGGGGCCATGTATCGTGAGATTTTGAGTGAAAACCTCCTTCCATCAGCAAGGGCATTGAAGATGAAACATGGCTGGGTCTTTCAGCATGACAATGATCCCAAACAAACCGCCCGGGCAAAGAAGGAGTGGCTTCGTAAGAAGCATTTCATGGTCCTGGAGTGGCCTAGCCAGTCTCCAGATCTCAACCCCATAGAAAATCATTGGAGGGAGTTGAACGTCCGTGTTGCCCAGCGACAGCCCCAAAACATCACTGCTCTAGAGGAGATCTGCATGGAGGAATGGGCCAAAATACCAGCAACAGTGTGTGAAAACCTTGTGAAGACTTACAGAAAACCTTTGACCTGTGTCATTGCCAACAAAGGGTATATAACAAAGTATTGAGAAACTTTTGTTATTGACCAAATACTTATTTTCCACCATAATTTGCAAATAAATTCATTAAAAATCCTACAATGTGATTCTCTGGATTTTTTTTCTCATTTTGTCTGTCATAGTTGACGTGTACCTATGATGAAAATTACAGGCCTCTCTCATCTTTTTAAGTGGGAGAACTTGCACAATTGGTGGCTGACTAAATACTTTTTTTCCCCACTGTATATCATAACTCCAAGAAACTCCTTTCAAGCAAATACAGTATATGTGGAAAAAATGGAGAGATACTTGTAATTTAATCTACATTTGTGACTGCATTGGACTGAGCTTGTATTGTATTTTTGTCCCACAGTAGGGTCGTTTCACGAATAGAGTGCTTTTTATGTCCCTCAGGAATTATGTATGTACATTTTGATGAACACTCAATTTAACAGTTGGATCACATACATACATACATACATACATCTATGCAGTAAAATAACTACTGTTTTCATTAAAATAAGTTTTTTGTTTTCTCTGTAAATCCCCATTTTGGCACGTCCAACTTCTAGGAAGAATTGAACCCACTTAACTCTAAGATTTCAAAATCCTACAATGTGATTTTCTGGATTTTTTTTCTCATTTTGTCTGTCATAGTTGACGTGTTCAAATTATTCACTCATATAACACCATATCAACGGTAGGGCCTAGGCTATATCTTGCTTATTGAGAACGTGCCTCACACATACAATACAATTTACAGGAGCGTAGCATTTTTTAAAGTGGGAAAACTTGCACAATTGGTGGCTGACTAAATACTTTTTTTCCCCACTGTACACTTAGGTTGGAGTCATTAAAACTAGTTTTTCAACCACTCCACAAATGTCTTGTTAACAAACTATAGTTTTGGCAAGTCGGATAGGACATCTACTTTGTGCATGACACAAGTAATTTTTCCAACAATTGTTTACAGACAGATTATTTCACTTATAATTCACTGTATCACAATTCCGGTGGTTCAGAAGTTTACATACACTAAGTTGACTGTGCCTTTAATCAGCTTGGAAAATTCCAGAAAATGATGTCATGGCTTTAGAAGCTTCTGATAGGCTAATTTATATCATTTTACTCAATTTGAGGTGAACCTGTGGATGTATTTCAAGGGCTACCTTCAAACTCAGTGCCTCTTTGCTTACACATCATGGGAAAATCAAAAGAAGTCAGCCAAGACCTCAGAAAAAAACATTGTAGACCTCCACAAGTCTGGTTCATCCTTGGGAGCAATTTCCAAACGCCTAAAGGTACCACGTTCGTCTGTACAAACAATAGTACGCAAGTATAAACACCATGGGACCACACAGCCGTCATACTGCTCAGGAAAGAGACGCGTTCTGTCTCCTAGAGATGATTGTACTTTGGTGCGAAAAGTTCAAATCAATCCCAGAACAACAGCAAAGGACCTTGTGAAGATGCTGGAGGAAACAGGTACAAAAGTATGTATATCCACAGTAAAATGAGTCCTAAATCGACATAACCTGAAAGGCTGCTCAGTAAGGAAGAAGCCACTGCTCCAAAACCACCATAAAAAAGCCAGACTACGGTTTGCAATTGCACATGGGGACAAAGATCGTACTTTTTGGAGAAATGTCCTCTGGTCTGATGAATCAAAAATCAACTGTTTGGCAATAATGACCATTGTTATGTTTGGAGGAAAAAGGGGGTTGCTTGCAAGCCGAAGAACACCATCCAACCGTGAAGCACAGGGGTGGCAGAACTGAAAAAGCTTGTGCGAGCAAGGAGGCCTACAAACCTGACCTGGCGGTGGGGTTATGGTATGGTTAGGCATAAGCTACGGACAACGAACAAAATTGCATTTTATCGATGGCAATTTGAATGCACAAAAATACCGTGATGAGATCCTGAGGCCCATTGTGAGGTCAAATTTTTTTAAAGGTATCTGTGACCAACAGATGCATATCTGTATTCCTAGTCATGTGAAATCCATAGATTAGAGCCTCATTTATTTATTTAAATTGACTGATTTCCTCATATGAACTGTAACTCAGTAAAATCGTTGAAATTGTTGCATGTTGCATTTATATTTCTGTTCAGTATATTTTTCTGAAATTATAAGTAATCCAAGAAGTAACCAACTTGTTTTTCTATAATCTGATTACAATATTTTAGCTGTTAACGTAACCGATTACAGTTACAGGTTTTTTATAATCAGATTACATGTAATCAGTTACTCCACAGCCCTGTACAGTGGTCAGTCTTGAGGTCAGGCTGGAAACACAGGAGGCCATGTTTTTGTCATAAAACGGGAGACCCTTTTCACCTTGATATATTTGTATTTAGATTCCTCCTCTCACCCTGGCATCAGGCTGGTCCTCGAAGGCTAGTTTGAAGGTGTCTGCCTGGGCCACACAGGAGCTGTCCAGGCCCATATAACCACAGAGTCTGTAGCAGGAGTCCCCTGCACCAGTGGCTGGGTAGGATTACAGAGCTTAAGTCAGATCATGTAGTACAGTACTTTAATTGCTTACTGGATAAATAATTGCCAAATGTGTGGGGGAACATGTATCCTCAGGCTCACCTTTCAAAAGGTCTTGTTTCAGTTTCCATCCTGAGCCACTGATGTAAACACAAGGAGGAGGGCAGAAGAACCTATTGTATGTAGACACACAATGTTCCTTCATACCATACAAAAAGCACCTGCAATCTGGCTAAGGCTAGTTTGCCCACTAAACTCCCTGCATATATCACCGACGTCAGTGTGCTAGCTTAGCATATAGCGCTGCCTCCCTGAACATTCTCCTGACTGGGCTTGAACCAGGGTCCTCTACCTTGCAAAACACACGTGACCGCCCACTTTACAACCAGTCAATAGGTCACAAACCAAGAGTTAGATGATTGATGAGAGATATTTGGATAGTGTTTAACAGGTGGGGGCCTTGTCGACTTACCGTTTCTCGTTGCCGTATGATTTCTGGGCGACCTTTGCATGGAGTATTCGCACAGATTGGTCAGGGCGAAACTGCAGATACTGTCTCACTGACTCCCTGGTCACTCTTGGCAGTGGAGAGAAACTTTGGTCCAGTCTGCTGAATGAATAGAAATCACTTAAAAAAGAGACAAACTCTCCATTGTTGTTCCTCTGTTAGAAGAGTGAAGCCTCTGCAAGATTATTGCCATCATTTTCCCATCATTTCAACAGCTATACAATCCCATAATTGATTTAGGTGAACTTATTTTTTTCTCTATATTCATATTAAAGTAAAATAACAAATTAGCCTACCATTATAAAAACTAATTATTGTTTTCTTGATTGCCATCGCCGGGAAGTGTGGGTTTAAAGGGAGAGTGCAACATTTTGGCAATTAATCCCCTTTTCTACTTACCCAGAGTCAGTAGGTACCATCTTTTTATGTACCTGTGTGCAGTTTGAAGGAAGTTGAAGGTAGTTTTGCGAGTCATTGCTAACTATCATTTGCGTAATGACTGGAAGTCTACCAGAACAGCTAGCATGCTGACTCTGGGTAAGTAGAAAAAAGGCTTAATTGGCAAAATCTTGCAATATCCTTTTAATTGACATATTTTAACTGAGATATATATTCTGAGCCCACTATGCTATAAAGGATATTCCCAAAGGAGTAATACAGGTACCTGGCAAAGAAAGAAGGTTATAATGTATACAATAAAATGCCGAAGATAGTTTCTACTATGATGTTAGGTGTGCATACGGGTAGGAGAGAGAAAGTGGATGTTTTAATTCCTGAACAATGCAGTGGCAGGATCTCTCTCTCTCTCTCTCTCTCTCTCTCTCTCTCTCTCTCTCTCTCTCTCTCTCTCTCTCTCTCTCTCTCTCTCTCTCTCTCTCTCTCTCTCTCTCTCTCTCTCTCTCTCTCTCTCTCTCTCTCTCTGCTAAACAGTCCATAGAGTGATACTGCATTTTATAAACAGAAACCCTGTGTCATTTCTTCCCCTCCATTTCTGTGCAAAGTACTGTGTGCTGTCAGCGTTTGGTTTGCATTTGAATCACTATGTTCTAATCTCATGATAATTTATGTTTGGAATATTGTGTCAGGAAAGACATTCTAGATACATTCTGTTCTTATGAAAGACACATTATGCTTGTTTAATCTTCCTTCACCCATAAGGTGACGTGATAGAATGCATTGGTTTTTACTACATTTCTTGCTTAACAAATGAACAACATGTTGCCATCAGAATAAAGACTAACTAAATGGCACCGCTCAGCTCTCTGAACAAAGAGAACCACATTTGAGAATTCTCTTTCCAATAATCATCGCCAGCTTCCAGTTGGCTCATTCATTCCCCCTCCTCTCCCCTGTAACTATCCCCAGGTCGTTGCTGTAAATGAGAATGTGTTCTCAGTCAATTTACCTGGTAAAATAAGGGTTAAAAAAACATTGAAATAAAAATAATCTTCTAAGGAATAGCAAGGGAGAGAGAGAAAGAGCTCTTTCTTATTAACCACAGGGCTAGGGCCATATAATGTGCGCTTATATAATTTGATGTGTTGAAAAGGTTATCTGATACGAGTGGAGAGGCGGACATAGAGACGGGAAAGAGGGAAAATAAACTGTTTTGATGACGGAGGACCCATAATTGGTTCTGACACTCTTGCTGTGGCTGTTGTGCAGAGGGCCTAAGTAAAAAACGTCCTCATAAATTTCCAGAGGTCAAACTACCTGTGAGAAAACTCCAAGATGAGTGCTTAGATAGCGGATCAGTATAATACAATTGGGGCTTGAACACACTGGACAACAACTGCCCATCACTAGCAAACCCATAGGCCAAACACATCATAGCAATACAACAAAAACACCCAAGTTTTCCCACTGACTTTATGTACCAGTGGAATATGTTCAGTTTTAAATGCTGGTCTCAGTTTCTATAGACATAGCTATTGATATTAAAATGTCTCATAGAATTGTCACGCTATAACTTCACTGTCATTTTCCCCTCATATAGACTTTAAAGGGACAATCTGCACTTGCGACATCCATTTTTGGACATAAATTAATCATATGTACCCATTGATTCTTCAAGAATATAACCTATAAAACCTAGAAATAACTGTCATTCCCCATCAGAACCCAAATTTTTTTTATTTATTTAACCTTTATTTAACCATTGTAAATAATTGTAAACAAAGTAAATGTAAACACATACTGTATAGCCTGAAAACATGGTTAAAATTATACTTTTGATATCATGGATGGTCAGTCTTGGCATCCATATATGAATTTGAGAGTAGTTCCTTTTCTCCAGCCTCATCCCTCAGGTTTTTACCGAAACGCTTAAAATTACTTTTATTGTTGTTATTGTTAAGTTGTTGTTACAGTTTTAACATTGCCCATTAGAAAAAGCACAGTGGGAAACCTATTAGATCGTTTTATACAACTTTAGAAATACCATAAATTCTACACATTTTATTAATGCTAAATGTACCCGACTTTTATTTAAGAAAGTAAAAAGCTCGAATTTATTGTAGCCTGTTCTACACTGTACAAAAGGCACAAGAGCATCCCAGTCCTGGCATGTGTGCTGTGCCTTCCCAGCTGTTCCTATTTCAAAGGTGGGTGGGGTCTACACTTTAACTCTCATTGCCTGGTTTCTAATACCTGCACGAACCTCTGCTCCTTCATTCCATGACAGAATAATAGTTGAGACAAGGCTAAACAACTGCACAACATAAAAGGACATTCTTTCCATTCACTTTTTGCACCGGAACTCTTTCTTCCCAGCTTGGTGACTTTGGAGAGGCTTGGATACCACTGCTTTTGCACTGACATTTTGTGAGTCACAGCAGGAGTTTTGTGTGTGTGTGTGGATTTTGCATTTACCGCAGTACCTGTTCCATTCTGACGCCCAAGGTTCTGTCCTACCCAGCACCGTCGCCAGGTGAGTTAGCGAATCCCCGGGTTGGTACGTGTGGGCGGTGTCCAAGGAATCCGTTATCTGCAGTGATGCTGAAAATGTAATGGAGAGAGTGCGTGTGTCATTTGTCAGTATTCACTGAGTCTAACTGCATCTCTATAGTAAATACATTCTAAGGAATAGCAAGGGAGAGAGAGAAAGAGCTCTTTCTTATTAACCACAGGGCTAGGGCCATAGAATGTGCCCTTAAAATTTGATGTGTTGAAAAGGTTATCTGATACGAGTGGAGAGGTGGACATAGAGACGGGATCAATCATCTAACTGCATCTCTATAGGTCAGTGTGTATTTAAAATGAGAAACCAAACATGTGTTTTGTTTTGCTTCTTGTCTATGGGCTAATAAATAGTTTGGTTAACCAGGCAACATGACCCAGTGAGGAAATGCCTGTCTGATCCTTCATTAGTGCTGCTGTGGGACTTTTTTAGGTGTTCTGATGTCGTTTCTGATGTTGACACAACAGGGTAGTAGTAAGAGTTGCCAATCTGCAGACTAGTCTTGAGGTGTAGCTAATTTATACACAGCCATACACGCTTAGAAAAAAAAGGTACTATTTAGAACCTAAAAGGGTTCTTTGGCTGTCCCCAAAGGATAACCCTTTGAAGAACCCTTTTGGTTCCAGGTAGAACCCTTTTGGGTTCCATGTACAACCCTTTACACAGGGGGTTCTACTTGGAACCCAAAAGGGTTCTCCTATGGGGACAGCCGAAGAACCCCTTCGGAACCCTTTTTTTCTAAGAGTGTACTGCTTAGTCATATCGAGGTTAGGTATGCACTACACAGTCATGGTACACTTTGGGGACATATTTTTATTTATTATGAAAGTAAAACTTAATTGATATGACTATTATTATTACAAATGATATTGTTTATAGTAGTGGTAGGCTAGTACATTACTGTATATAGAAATAGCAGCAGTAGCTGCTGGTAGCCTATATCTGTTTGTGCTGGACTAGATTGTTGTCTTTTGGAGAGTTCCTTGGGATGGTATGGAATTCGAAAAATCTGTATTTGCCTATCTAATTTGATGAAATACTATTTTTAAATTGAAACGTATACCTTAAACAACACTTGGCTTACACTATATAATTTAGTAGAATGCATTATTTAGAAACTATCATCAAACAGGATAATATCCAACAAACCCACATCTCCCAGTTAAAAAACCCACATCTCAAAAAAATGTCTTCTTTACAACCCAGTAACCAACTCAACATTGTGTACTTTAGAGTGAGAATATGAGGGTGCTGACTGGCTGTATGTGCTGGGTGCACATTGGCTGACTGGAGGTGAGGAGTTTAGGAGGCAGGAGAAACAACTAACAGTAGCAAAGTCCACATCTGCTTCCAATCGAGCAAGAACAAGAAGCTGCTGTGTCTTAAACTGAATATGGGCTCAAGCTGTCACTCAACTCCCTACCAGCCACTGAGCCAGCCACATAACTGCTCTCTTCACTCATTCCGAATGTGTCACTCACTCTCCCTTCCTCTCCCACCTCTCTCTCCCCTCTACATCTTGCTCCCTCCTTTGCTTTCTATCAGCCTCCCCCGTGTGCCTGAGACCCCTGTTAAACTCAAACTGGGAAGAATGTTTTAACTGTCAGGACTTACCCCTTGGAGATCCTTCGGGTTACGCAGATTTTTTACTTATATCATAAACAGATATCCCATAGAGAAATGTAGGCCTACAGCTAACTCACAGTGTGCACACTCTTCCTCCATACCCCCCCCCTCCTTATTTCCCCCCTCTCATCTCCCCTAGCCCCAGGTAGACGTTTCTCTTAGGCACAGATCTAGAGACAGCTCAATCTTCCCAAATCCTGATCTTGATGATTACAGGGAAAACGCAAACACTGACCTTCATACATTTTATTTTTTGGCCAACCCATCTGGTTTACCCATTCCTCCTTCTATGCGGCTTATTCTGGAGCTGGTTCACTCACCTTCTCTCCTCTCTTCCCCAGTTTCTTCCTCCCTGATGAGGCTCTGCATGGTCTGGTAGCGGTGCTAAATGTAAAAAGAGGAAGTCACCATGCATGTCCCAACAGGGGTTCTACAGCTACTGTGCTTTACTTCCTCAGAGAAGCCACACCACTCCATTCAATACAGCTCCTCTGCCTGTGACTTCACTGTGACTCACTAATATGGATACTGTGTGTTAGCGCTAATGTTAGTGTATTACTTTTACCCCCACCCCTCTCTCCATTCTTATTCCAGTAGCGGTGTGTGTGTGTGTGTGTGTGTGTGTGTGTGTGTCCCCCGGTTGTTTGTATTGAGAGATAGTCACCTGTTTCTCAGGTACAGGGTTCTCACACCCCTTGCTTCCACAAACACTGCAGGAGATAGCAAGAGAATGCCCAAAGACAAGAGTAATGTCCAACCAGGCAGTGAGTGCTTGTCTAACAGCTATGCAGGAGCTGCTAATTGCATTAAGAATTGAGTGGTGTGTCTCTGAAAACAAATAGCAGAGAATGTGTTTTATATAAAGTAGGAAACCAGAATAAAAGTAATCTGCACTTCCAGGGAGCCACAACCCACACAGTAGAACTGATATAATTGATAGTTCACTGTGAACTCAGGGCGTATGGGGGCCGGTGTAAGGGAAGTATGGAAGTTGCATTAGTGGGATTACTCCCCAAGGGTGAGCACTGACATCTAGGCCTGTTATTTTGGGCTTGTCAGCAACATATGCCACATGGTTTTTGAAAAGTTTCACATAAGATCTGTAGAAAGAATGTACATATCTTCTTCCATACTATTTTAGCTACTCCCATGTGATGAAGAATCGTATGCAGAGCTCAATCTGTTTATTTTCATACCTACACTGAACAAAAATATAAACGCAACATGTAAAGTGTTGGTCCCATGTTTCATGAGCTGAAATAAAAGATCCCAGACATTTTCCAAATGCACAATACCACGGATGTCTCAAGTTGAGGGAGCTTGATATTCACATGCTGACTGCAGGAATGTCCACCAGAGCTGTTGGCAGATAATTCAATGTTAATTTCTCTACCATAAGCCGCCTCCAACGTCATTTTAGAGAGTTTGGCAGTACATCCAACCGCCCTCACAACCGCAGACCATGTGCATGGCGTCGTGTGGGCGAGCGGTTTTATTGATGTCAGCGTTGTGAACAAGAGTGCCCCATGGTGGCAGTGGGGTTATGGTATGGTTAGGCATAAGCTACGGACAATGAACACAATTGCATTTTATCGATGGCAATTTGAACGCACAAAAATACTGTGTTGAGATCCTGAGGCCCATTGTGAGGTCCATTTAAAAAAAAAAGGTGTTTGTGACCTACAGATGCATATCTGTATTCCCAGTCATGTGATATCCATATATTAGGGCCTAATTTATTTATTTCAATTGACTGATTTCCTCATATGAACTGTAACACAGTAAAATCTTTGAAATTGTTGCATGTTGCGTTTATATTTTTATCCAGTATTGTAGAATAGATCTTATTTTTCTTTTGTCAAATGTGCTATAATTGCTTGATTACAGCTCCAGTATTTAGCATCCAATTACATAGTATACTGTATGGAATTCACAACTCATACCATTACATAATGTAGAATTCCACCACCCATATAGACACTGTATCAGTCCATTCAGTGCAGTGGATTAACAGGGGAATATTAAAGTGAACTGAATGTTTTTCTTAATGCCTAATTAGAGTGTATCTGTTGGTAAGGGCGCTGCTGTGTCGGTTAGGTAGTAGTGGGGCACACTGAGGCATCTTTGTACCTGCACACATGCACTTGATTACAGAAGGAGGCTACTAAAACATATTTCTAGAGTTCTGCACTGGGTCTCAGAGGGGACTGATCAAGACCACAATGCATAAGGGTCTCTCTGAGCTGGATGTGGGCTCTTTGCAAGGTCCTGATCTCTCCATCTTTGTGTCTCTCTTAATAAACCTCTGTCTACTCCTTAATTTGCTCTCACTTGCTAGATTTCCATCCAATTGGTGACAGATTGTCATGCAAATATACTAAAATCCACATAAAAACAACATGTGTTTCCATCAAATTGTCTTGTTGCATATAAAAAGCTGTGCGTGATGACGTAGTGCACTTCAAATACCTTTTGTGGTTCAATTTCCTCTTACCGAAAAAAAAATAAAAAGCAAAATGGGTTTCCATCGCATTTTCAACTCTACTGATGCTATTGGCTTGTCCGCTCTAGACAACAGTGCTATCTGCACGCTGTTGGATAGAGCGCACATATAGCCTACGTGATGAGATTATTATTATGGACAAAAGAGCAAGCCAAGCATCGATTATCATGTCACCATATTAAGACCCTTAATATTTATTGGAAGGCGCATCAAGCTCATCACCTTGCACTTTCACCACCCTGTGAAGTTAATAATTGATTTCATCTGTAGCCTAATAAACTGCATGCTTTCTCGACAAGTCGTAGTGGGAGGACCACACAACATATCATCGAGTGACTCCAAGTTTACTTCGATATGATGGTTATTATATCAATATTTGTGCATAAAAGTGTTTCCACCAACATTTCTCACATAATTAATTTTACAGACACAAAAAAATCCCAAGTAGGCAAAGCACACTGCACAGTTGTTGTCTTTGATGTGATGTCTGCCTACGCTCTCTGAGGAAGTTGCTTCCATTGGGCATTCACAAATTGACCAAAATGAGGCCAATGAATGACAACAACTACTCTTCGAGGTACAGTTATCTGAGCGATAACGATAAACTTCACCAGGACACCTCTCTCAGGACTGAAGAAGAGAAGTCCCTTTTATAATGCCTGTTTGAATTGACAGCATGCCTTTCGCAGATTAATCCTTTGTGTAGCCGTCTATTAGGATAGGAATTACTCCTCTATACCTCCGCCATCTGTTTGGTGTCAAGATTTTTATCATAGGGCTGGGCAGGAATGTGCTAGTGGTAAAGTACTGTAGATTACCTGTTTTGTTCTGTGTTCTCTCGTTGCAGTGCAGTTTGAAGCCTGCCTAAACTCAGCTCTAACCCAGCCCCGAGAGGTCCGGCTCCCAGACCAACGCCCTGAACATGAGAGAGCTGTGTGTCTGTGTGTCTGTCCTGCTAGCTTTGGCCACCCAGGCCGCGGCTAGGCCTAAAGCAGGTTAGCCAAGTCCAACTGTGAAGTAATAAAAAGACCATGAATGGATTGCAGTTCAGCCCACATTCAATTGCTTCTTGCATCTTATATCTTCTTCCAAGATCAAATCAAAATGAGAACTTGCTTTGCAAGGAAGTTAATGAAATTAATACAAAATTACTGTTTAATTGTATGCTTATGCCGTAGCTAATGTGATATTCATGATTTCCCACTCTGGCTTCACACATTCTCACATCGCCTAAACCAGGACCGGAGCAGAAGTGCAAGTCCGGCCCAGTGGACCTGGTGTTCATTATTGACGGCTCTCGAAGTGTGCGGCCCCACGAGTTCGAGACCATGCGCAAGTTCATGATTGACATCATCCACACTCTGGACGTGGGGGCGAACGCCACCCGGGTGGGCGTGGTGCAGTACTCCAGCCAGGTCCACAACCTCTTATCAACTTCACAATTTATCCTTGTGTTTATACACATTAGTGAAAAACTATGCTTGGAAAGGGAGGATCATTCTTGCCTTGAAATTCTTAGCTTGGCTTCCCTTTCCAATTGTAGTTCTTGTAAAGGCTAAAAGCCACTGGTGAAGACTCAGTTGTACCTAAATAGAGATAGCTAGACATGCAAACCCTGCAGATGAAGAGATGACTGATGCTTTGCATGCTTCTATGACTCTAGGTCCAGAACGAATTCTCTCTCAAGACCCACGGCAAGCTGCAGGGCATGGTTAAAGGCATCAATGAGATCATCCCCCTGGCACAGGGCACCATGACAGGCCTGGCCATCAAGTACGTCATGAACCATGCCTTCACGGCAGCCGAGGGTGACCGACCCAAGGTGCCCAATGTGGCCGTCATTGTAACGGACGGGCGGCCCCAGGACCGCGTGGCGGAGGTGGCAGCCGAGGCTCGAGACAAGGGAATCGAGATCTATGCGGTGGGTGTCGCCCGGGCGGATATGACCTCGCTGCGTGCCATGGCGTCACCGCCCTACGAGGACCATGTCTTCCTGGTGGAGTCTTTTGACCTGATCTACCAGTTTGGCCTGCAGTTCCAGGACAAGCTCTGCGGTGGGTTGGGTCGATAAGTGATATTATCGAATTATCGTCAAACGTACAGTTGAAGTCGGAAGTTTACAAACACTTAGGTTGGAGTCATTAAAACTCGTTTTTCAACCACTCCACACATTTCTTGTTAACAAACTGTCGGTTAGGACATCTACTTTGTGCATGACACAAGTAATTTTTCCAACAATTGTTTACAGACAGATTATTTCACTTATAATTCACTGTATCACAATACCAGTGGGTCAGAAGTTTACATACACTAAGTTGACTGTGCCTTTAAACTGCTTGGAAAATTCCAGAAAATGATGTCATGGCTTTAGAAGCTTCTGATAGGCAAATTGACATAATTTGAGTCAATTGGAGGTGTACCTGTGGATGTATTTCAAGGCCTACCTTCAAACTCTGTGCCTCTTTGCTTGACATCATTGGAAAATCAAAAGAAATCAGCCAAGACCTCCACAAGTCTGGTTCATCCTTGGGAACAATTTCCAAACGCCTGAAGGTATCACATTAATCTGTACAAACAATAGTACGCAAGTATAAACACCATGGGACCACCCAGCCGTCATACCGCTCAGGAAGGAGACACGTTCTGTCTCCTAGAGATGAACGTACTTTGGTGGGAAAAGTGCAAATCAATCCCAGAACAACAGCAAAGGACCTTGTGAAGATGCTGGAGGAAACAGGTACAAAAGTATCTATATCCACAGTAAAACTAATCCTGTATCGACATAACCTGAAAGGCTGCTCAGCAAGGAAGAAGCCACTGCTGCAAAACCGCCATAAAAAAGCCAGACTACGGTTTGCAACTGCACATGGGGACAAAGATCGTACTTTTTAGAGAAATGTCCTCTGGTCTGATAAAACAAAAATAGAACTGTTTGGCCATAATGACCATCGTTATGTTTGGAGGAAAAGGTGGTTACTTGCAAGCCGAAGAACACCATCCCAACTGTGAAGCACGGGGGTGGCAGCATCATGCTGTGGGGGTGCTTTGCTGCAGGAGGGACTGGTGCACTTCACAAAATAGATGGCATCATGAGGAAGGAAAATGAGGTGGATATATTGAAGCAACATCTCAAGACATCAGTCAGGAAGTTAAAGCTTGGTCGCAAATGGGTCTTCCAAATGGACAATGACCCCAAGCATACTTCCAAAGTTGTGGCAAAATGGCTTAAGGACAACTAAGTCAAGGTATTGGCGTGGCCATCACAAAGCCCTCAATCCTATAGAAAATGTGTGGGCAGAACTGAAAAAGCGTGTGCGAGCAAGGAGGCCTACAAACTTGACTCAGTTACACCAGCACTGTCAGGAGGAATGGGCCAAAATTCATCAAACTTATTGTGGGAAGCTTGTGGAAGGCTATCTGAAACGTTTGACCCAAGTTAAACAGTTTAAAGGCAATGCTACCAAATACTAATTGAGTGTATGTAAACTTCTGACCCACTGGGAATGTGATGAAAGAAATAAAAGCTGAAATAAATCATTCTCTCTACTAATATTCTGACATTTCACATTCCTAAAATAAAGTTTTGATCCTATCTGACCTAAGACAGGGAATTTTTACTAGGATTAAATGTCAGGAATTGTGAAAAACTGAGTTTAAATGTATTTGGCTAAGGTGTATGTAAACTTCCGACTTCAACTGTATATGTTCAGCAATATGTGTGACATAAGCAATTATTAATACACCACTCAGTTTCCATTATATATCAACGTTTATTGTTCCAACCATAGCATCCCACTTTACAAATCCCACTTTACTGTTGCTGAAGTGTGTCAAGGTCACCAGTGTTCACAAATATTTATATTTGTACTTGAGACTTTCAAAGCTTGTAAAATGTTCCATTATCCTCATAAACTCAACTCAGAATAAAGCTCTGTGGGATTTTTAGCTCTCGCTCTTAGTTGCATCCTTGACAGCACAATATCAACCATCTAATTCTCACAACAGCATCACTAGGTTTTGGGAACTTTCAAACAGTATGAGGAAATCTTTGATATTTCCTAATGCCAATATTATGAGAGTGATTAAAGGTTGAATTGTTGCTTGTCTGCTGGGGTTCCAGGGATGGATCTTTGCCTGGAGTCTGAGCATGGCTGTGAGCACCTCTGTGAGAGCTCCCCTGGTTCTTTCCACTGCCTGTGTCTGCCAGGGTACACTCTCAACGAGGATGGCAAGACCTGCAAAGGTATAGGATGTCAATGGGGCTAGACATGAGCCAACTTAATAATTTTGTATTATTATTAATGAACTGAATATACCAAACATTAGGAACACCTTCCTAATATTGAGTTGCACCCCCACACACACACTTTTGCCCTCAGAACAGCCTCAATTTTTGGGGGCATGGACTCTACAAGGTGTCGAAAGCGTTCCACAGGGATTCTGGCCCATGTTGACTCCAATGCTTCCAACAGTTGTGTGAAGTTGGCTGGATGTCCATTGGGTGGTGGAACATTATTCATACACACGGGAAACTGTTGAGCAACCCAGCAGCGTTGCAGTTCTTGACACAAACCGGTGCGCCTGGCACCTAATACCATACCCCGTTCAAAGGCACTTACATTTTGTGTCTTGCCCATTCACACTCTGAATAGCACACATACACAATCCATGTCTCAATTGTCTCAAGGCTTAAAAATCCTTCTTTAACCTGTCTCCTTCCCTTCATCTACACTGATTGAAGTGGATTTAACAAGTGACATCAATAAGGGATCATAGCTTTCACCTGGATTCACCTGGTCAGTCTGTCATGGAAAGAGCAGGTGTTCTTAATGTTTTGTATACTCAGTGTATATAATGTCGGTCACGTGCATGCATAGCTGTAACTGGGTCTGGTTCTTGTATATATCAATGGGAAATTAGTGAGAAGTTGTGAGCATGTAGGATAGGTCAAGTTAGTATTCAGCAGTTACTGACTTAATAGCAACAGTGATTTTTGTCTCTTTGTATGATACAGCGATAGACCTGTGTGCTGAGGAGAAGCATGACTGTGAGCAGATCTGTATCCCCTCCCCGGGATCCTTCACCTGTGGCTGCAACACTGGCTACACCCTCAACGACGACAAGAAGACCTGCACAAGTTAGTGAAGCCACCGTCAGGCCAAACAATACAATGCACTAAAAGCAACATGATTAACATAATCCTGCCATCCTGATGGACATACAATACCAGTCAAAAGTTTGGACACACCTACTCATTCAAGGGTTTTTCTTAATTTTTACTATTTTCTACATTGTAGAGTAGTGAAGACATCAAAACTAAGAATTAACACATATGTAATCATGTAGTAACCAAAAAAGTTTAAAGAAATGTACTCAATAGATAAATGCGGTCATAAGACCCAATCCAAAAGACATCTCTAAGTCAACACTTATTGATGTTATTCTAAATAACAATCTGCATAAGTACTCGGCCGTTGGTATTTTTCCTAATGATTTAAGCAATTATTGTACAGTTGGTTGCATTAGAGACACTAACATCCCTGAAGTGCCCCCTCGGTACATAGTCAAACAAAATTTTAAGCAGTTCTGTGAGCAGGCATTCCTGCACAAACTTTATGCATGCAACTGGGATTGGATTGCAGTTTTTGCCGGACAGAGGAGGCATTCTCCTATTTTCATTCCATGTTTTCTACTATCTGTGATAAACACGCCCCTCTCAAAAAGTACCGGGTAAGCGGTAGAGACAATCCCTGGTTTAAAGAGGAATTATCTGATTTGATCCAAAAAACGAAATAGACAACGGGTCAAAGCCAGAAAGGGTAACTCCCAGGCTGAATGACTTTATTTCAGGGCACTGAGAAACAAGTGTACCTTGTTAATATGGAAATGCAAATCTAACTTCTATTACGAATCTACCCAGGCAAACCTCAATAACCCGACGAAATTATGGAAAACCATTAAGTCCATGAATGCTAACATGAACTCCTCTGGTCTTCCGCTGAAATTGAACTCAAATTCAATCAACTTGACAGACAAGAATCAACTGCTTGATATTTTTTATGAGCATTTTGCTAAGGCTTGGCATTTATTTGATAATGAACTCCATCCTAACTTCTCGAATGAGGCTGTGAATGAAACTGCCGACTGCCGGCCTACGGTTCATCCATTTCATTTTACCGAGATTGAGCTTTCAGAAGTTGTAAAGGCACTCAAATCTGTTGATATTAAGAAAGTGGCTGGAATTTAACACTTAAATATATATATATATATTATTGCTGCAGAGAGCATTGCTCCCTCTCACTCATATATTAAATCTTTCATTGGTGAGTAATACGATTCCAAAAGTCTGGAACGCAGCCTACGTCAACTCTTTACATAAGCGTGGAGATCCGTCCCAGTTGGATAACTATTGTCCCATATCTAAACTTTCTGCACTGGAAAATGTTTTGGAAAACCTGGTGAACTGACAGTTGAAAGACTTTCTTTACAATAACTCAGTTTTATCTAAATTCCAATCGGGTTTTAGGGCCAAGAATAGTACCATTACTGTGGTAACTAAAGTTGTAGGTGATATTCTAGATGCTCAGGACAAGAAACCTTACTGTTTCACTTTTTATTGACTTATTGAAGGCCTTCGACACTGTTGACACATGCCCTGCTGTTGTATAGATAAAAAAAGGTTGGTTCCAAAACTACCTTTCTGACAGAACAATGTGTAGCACAGGAGGGTATGAAATCTGAGTTTCGAAGTCTTACGAAAGGAGTTCCCCAGGGCTCAATTTTAGGTCAGATCCTTTTTACACTGTATGTAAATGACATTGGGAAGACTGTTGACTCTGCTTTCAGGACTTACAGTTGGCTTTTGATGCTGTTCAAAAGCAACTTTTCGAATTGAAACTGGTGCTTAATGCAAGGCAAACTGAATAAATTATATGATTTACTCTTCTCTGAAAGTAGAGAGATGGAGTCACTTGCAGATTTTAACTCTAAAAGTCCAGCAAATTGATAGGGTCACCTCCTGTAAGTATCTTGGGATTTGGTTAGATGAAAAGCTGAATTTTAAACAGCACATTGATAACTTGACCAAGAAACTGAAGTTGAAATTGGGTTTTTATTTTAGGAACAAATCTTATTTTCAATTTCAGTCAGAAAGGCTCTTGTTCAAAGCACTTTTTTATCGGTGCTGGATTGTGCTGATATTGTCTAAATGCAGGTCTCAGCAATTACCTTAAACCAGTTAAATGTAACGACATGTAATTGAAAATGTAATCTACTGGAACGACTCAATAGGCGTAGCTGGTAGGTGACTGGTAGGAAGGCAGTGAGGAGGAACAATGACAGAAGTCCAACACACAGGGGCACAGCTTAAACTAGGCTAGCATATTTATTCAAAATAAAAGGTTCACAAAGCTGGTTCTCAAATATTAACTGAAAACAAAACACTCTCCCACTCTACTTAACTGAACCTAACGATAGCCTTAACTTTAAAGAAAACTAGCCGGGCTGCTATCCAGCTTACCAGCTTCACTTGTAGACCGGTCACTTCTTCCTATGGAGAACACAATGTTCAGGGATTCAAACAGATGTCCCTAGAGCTCTGCCTCTGGCGTCTAGCCCCTGTGCTGAACTAAAGCAGGCTCTTAAATTTCCCCAGGTGCGTTGCAGCCTAACGATGCCGAGTGGCCTCAGGTGTGGGCGTAGCCCTGCAGCTTAGTTTGCTGCCACCTACATTGCTGGTTGTGGGGCATGGCTGACACTCTAAACAGTGGCTTTCCCCGGCCATATCACTGGGGGCGCCACACTACGTAATCCCCAAAAGTAATTATTTATCATTAGAGGGCCATAAAGAATAACTAGTAATGCTGCGTACTCCAAGAAAGGCTAAAATCTAACCTTTCTGGTACAAATAGTAATACATTGTTGAGGTGTTTGAGGACACAAGCTCAAGTACACAGTACAAATATATATTTTTTTAATATATGAAAAAATGAACAAAACTGTATGAATAAGGCTTGAAATGACATATGCTTTCTAAATATACTATAAAATGACTAACAATAAGATTTCACCTTAATTATAACTGTAAAATATTTGTATGTTTAGTGTTAGAGAAAATGTGAATATTTTCTTAAGGTCTCTCTTGATCAAAACGTCTGCCCCCGTCGCTGTGAACGTCTCACATAACTCTAACTTGGATTCCTGAACTCGTTAGGAACTTGCCTTTCATCTCATAGTAATCTTGTCCATCTGTGACAAACAAAGTGTTTTTTGTATAAAGTCTATTCATTATTTTAGATGAATGGCTATAAATTGATCTGAATGTGCTACAGCGATGGAAACACTCTCTCCTGCTGCACTGCGATGTAATGGATTGCAAGCATGTGCTTTGTCAGTGGCTGTGACGTAGGGTTCAGCCAGGAGTTGATGGACAGTCAGAAGAGCGAATGAAATGGTAGGAGGGTCAGCCCAGCTTCAAGTGGTTTCAGATTTCACATCCTACATCACACAGGCACTACTGTGTCCGTGGGAACCGGGGCTATTGCTCAATGCAAGCCATTTCGATCTAAGGTGTCCACAGATCGATTTATAAGCGAAACTGTCGATCGGAACCAGTACCAGAACCATGAAGGTCCCTTTACATCTAAGAGGATTATTACATACTCTGGACAGTGTATCATAGTGCTTTAAGAATTTTCACAAATGCTAGATCACTCACCCATCACTGTGATTTATTATGCCATGGAGAAAACCTGGGTGAGGAAATAGTTTTAAAAACAGTAAATCCACTGTAAGTATACTTCCACTCAGAAACATTATTCATTATACTATAAAGATCATTATTGAATTACTATTTAATACTATGCATTATAACTTTACAATTTCTATAAGCATAATTAATCATTGCTGCTTTTGCATATCATTTGCTTGCATTCTTTTCTCCTTCAGTGATCGACTACTGTTCATTTGGGAATCACAGCTGTCAGCATGAGTGTGTGAGTGTCCTCAATGGCTATTTCTGCCACTGTAATGAGGGATACACACTCCAGGAGGATGGAAAGACCTGCCAGAGTAAGTTAGACACACTGTAAGATGATTTAACCTTTATAATGTCAAAGGTCTGCTTCAGGGGAAACTAACTAACAGAAACAACTATTTAACCCAAATACCGAAGCAAAGTCTCTATGTAAGATACATTGACAAAAATGTTGACTCTACACATAGCCATTTGGGTGTACTGCTGTTTTAATTTACATGGGGAAAGAATTAACTGTAATTTGGATGTTCATAGAAAGTGGTGACCAATATATGTGTGTACTGTTACATGCAGTCCATACATCTTACTGTTTTATGTTCTGAACCAACACTAGCTTAATAAGCGTTATGACCTTTATGACCGCCTCTCTACTTAAAAACAAACATACTAAAAATCTAACCAGCCAAACCTTTGTTATACAATTCACTTTCATTGAGTTATGCAACTCACTAAAATCCACTTTACTCAACTTGATATGATCACTTGCCTAGTAATACTCAAGAAAATCTCAAGAATGTTCAGATCAACATAACCAGTCTTTGAAAGATAGGTCCCCTGAAGTGAACCTAATATTTTTCCCAGACCACATCCATAGATGATTATACCGCCAAACATAATATCAAAGCCTTTATCCATTCATTTATTACTTCATCATACAGTACATCTGCTCCCATTGGTCTATTAAATGCACGCACGCATACGCACACACACAAATGTATGCAATTATCTCCTGGTAATACATATTTACCATAGCAATACTTTTGTACTGCTCTTGGAGATTTGTTTTGTTTTGTCTACAAATACTGTACTTGCCAAACACACCTAGGCTATTAGACTGGTAACACAATAGAAAGTACACTAGATAGACTGGCGGAAGATTTTGAGATGATATGCTTCTCAGCTGATCCTCAAATCCACATTACGTTCAAGATGATCCAAAGACAGAGGTTGTGATGATGATAATGATAATAATAATACTTTTTATTTGCGCCTTTCAAGATACCCAAGGACACATAGGGCCCGATTCAGACATAGACATTTACGACTTTCCTACACACGTCTTTCCTACACACTTCTCAGTAGTTGGTATTCAGACTTACCTTATGCTGGTGCATAACGGGCTTTGCAGGTGTAGTTCCCTTGCGCGTGCTGAATACATTTAATTCAACCACTGAAAACCCTCCCACTTGCTGGCCAACAGATTTTCTTGTGGAGTTTTCATTCAATAGGGGTTTCAGCACATTAACTAAAGCCATCCTTTTAAATTTGGTGTACCTTTAATTTGAATTTTCTCGACAGACTCACTAGAATATATGGAGAGAACGGTTCAGAATATTAGTGATCAATGACAGAAAGCCATGTAGGCTAAACATGTAGGCTAAATACACGCATATTCGTCTCCTTTTCAGCACCAATTGGTAGATTTAAAAATACTCTGATCTTGTAGAAAACTGTTTGGAGAGCCTTATTGGTGAATCAAAAATACAGTGGTTTGATTCATCCTGAAAGTTGCCATATTCAATCCATGAAATATTGGAAAGTGAGAAAAGTGTACAACAGGGGTTGAACAGTAGTCCTATAAATCTACCCTAATAATTCTCACTAATCATGGAACTGTGATAACGATCCAGTCGTTGTGAACCGTGCTCCAGGTTTAAACTGCTACGTATGGTCTGCGTTCAATAATGATTCAAATAGGCTACATGTCCCAAATTATTGAACAACTTATAATACATTAGCCTAATATGATTCACTATTGCTAGCGATACTCAAGAACTACCACACGAACGAACGTGACAGAGGAAAGAAAGGTAAACTAACAATGGAATGGAATGGAATGATGCAAAATGTTAAGAAACTAAAGTGAAATGTACAGTGCATTTGGAAAGTATTCAGACCCCTTGACTTTTTCCACATCATCCTTGAGATGTTTCTACAACTTGATTGGAGTGTGGTAAATTCTATTGATTGGCACACACCTGTCTATATAAGGTCCCACAGTTGACAGTGCATGTCAGAGCAAAAACCAAGCCATGTGGTGGAAGGAATTGTCCGTAGAGCTCCGAGACAGGATTGTGTCAAGACACATATCTGGGGAAGGGTACCAAAAAATTTCTGTAGCATTGAAGGTCCCCAAGAACACAAGAACACAGTGGCCTCCATCATTCTTAAATGGAAGAAGTTTGGAAACACCAAGACTCATCCTAGAGTTGGCCGCCCGGCCAAACTGAGCAATCGGGGGAGAAGGGCCTTGGTCAGGGAGGTGACCAAGAATCTGATGGTCACTCTGACAGAGCTCCAGAGTTCCTCTGTGGAGATGGGAGGACCTTCCAGAAGGACAACCGTCTCTTCAGCACTCCACCTCTACGGTGAAACATTGTGGTGGGAACATCTTGCTGTGGGGATGTTTTTCAGCGGCAGGGACTGGGAGACTAGTCAGGATAGATAGAAAGACGAACAGAGCAAAGTACATAGAGATCCTTGATGAAAACCTGCTCCAGAGTGCTCAGGACCTCAGACTGGGGCGAAGGTTTACATTCCAACAGGACAACGGCCCTAAGCACACAGCCAAGACATCACAGGAGTAGCTTCAGGAAAAGTCTCTGAATGTCCTTGTGTGGCCCAGCCAGAGCCCGGAATTGAACCCGATCTAACATCTCTGGAGAGGCCAAAAAATAGCTGTGCAGCGACGCTCCCCATCCAACCTGACAGAGCTTGAAAGGATCTGCAGAGAAGAATGGAGAAACTCCCCAAATATAGGTGTGCCAAGCTTGTATCGTCATACCCAAGAAGACTCGAGGCTGTAATCGCTGCCAAAGGTGCTTCAACAAAGTACTGAGTAAAGGGTCTGAGTACTTATGTAAATATGCCTTTTCCGTTTTTTATTTTTTATACATTTGCTAAAATTTATAAAAAACAGTTTTTGCTTTGTCTTTATTGGGTATTGTGTGTAGATTGATGATGGAAAAAAACCAAACAATTGAATCCATTTTATAATAAGGCTGTAACGTAACAAAATGTGGAATAAGTCTGAATGCTTTCGAATGCACTGTATGCGGGTGGTGGCTACCAATAGCAGCTAATATTTAACACGATACAAATTCTAAAAGATACAGTGCAAAGTCTGGGCATATAATTAAAACATTCTTGACATCATTAATCAACTCGGTAGGTTTGGCACTATACTGTCATTTGCGCAAGGCGACAAAAGCCTATCGCTTGGGTCCCTGCAGATTGTAAGGCCAGCATTTCATAAACCCATTCAAGTCATGGGACCGATATTATATACATTTTTTATAATTATAAAGTATCTACAATTGATTGTGAACTTCAACAAAGTCAGTTATAGATTATTTGAACATTATGCGTGAAAAATTCTAACATGACTTGAATAGGATTTGTGCCACAAATTATTAAATGTTAGCATGAGGAAACAATGCGAAGGAAACTAAACCAAAGCATGGATTGCTGTCCCATCTTGTCCATAGACTATTAGAGGGTAAAGAAACCAATGTCATTTTGTAATTTGGGTGAACTATCCCTTTCAGTTGAAGATTTCTTCGAAGTGCTCTCCCCACCAGAATTTGATTGGTTCATCATCCTTCAGCAGCTTTTGTCCATCTTTGGTGCGAAGGATAGTCACCCAGACTATCGTTGTCCATCTTTGGATAGTCACCCAGAATATTGTTGTTAAGTCTGGATGAGGTGAGGGTCTGTACAACAGTTGTCTGTACTCGTCATTGCTCATCATTGTCACATCACAACAATCCTTGGCTTGGACATTGACATACAGTAAGCCCCGTTTAAACCTGTCGCTAACATGGGTCCTGTGTCTTGATCTTGAACACATTCTGATTGTCCTCACAGAACAGAATTCATGGTTCCTTCTATTAAGGCAAGTCATCCAGGTCCTGAGGCAGCAAAGCATCCCCAAACCATCACACTACCACCATGTCATCCAAAAAGTTATACTTTTGACTCATCTGTCCATAGAACATTCTTCCAAGAGTCTTGATGATCATCCAGGTGCTTCCAGGCAAACTTGAGTCAGGTCTTTGGACGAAATGGGTCCCATTATGTCAGGGTAAAACCAAACACTGTATTCCACAGTAAAAACCAAGGATGGTGGTGGTAGTGTGATGATTTGCTGCCTCAGGACCTGGATGACTTGCCTTAATAGAAGGTACCATGAATTCTGTTCTGTATCAGAGAATTCTACAGGAGAATGTCAGGCCATCTGTCTGTGAGCTGAAGCTGAAGCGCAGCTGGGTCATGCAGTAACACAATGATCCAAAACACACAATCAAGTCTACGTGAAAATGGTTAAAAAGCAACACATTTTAATTTTTGGAATGGCCTAGTCAAAGTCCAGACCTAATCCCAATTGAGATGTTGTGGCAGGACTTCAAACGAGCAGTTCATGCTTGAAAACCTCACAAATGTTGCTGAGTTAAAGCAGTTCTGCTTGCAAGAGTGGGCCAAAATTCCTCCACAGCGATGTGAGAGACTGATCAACAAGTATAGGAAGCCTTTGTTGCAGTCATTTCAGCTAAAGGTGGTACAACCTGTTATTGAGTGTAAGGGGGAATTGGGTGTTGCATAACATTGTTAATTAAATAAATAAAATAAGTATCCATTTTTTTGTTATTTGTAAACTCAGGTTCCCTTTATCTAATATTAGGTTTTGGTTGAAGATCTGATAACACTCAGTATCAAAGATATGCAAAACTAGAGAAATCCCATCAGGACCAGCGGCCTTGTTATTTCTCATCTTCCTGATGGCATCTTGTACCTTCTGCTAGCTGTGTTGTTGTCCCATGTCTTCCTTTATGGGTTGCTGAAGAATTTGGTCAATGACCTCCATCTCAGTGATTGTACTTCAGTTGAGGAGTGCTTCAAAGTGTTCCTTCCACCAGGATTAGATTGCTTCAGCAGCTTTTCCAGGGTATTTCTGACCGAAGAGTATGTTGCTGATGATGAGGTCATTTGGTAAGGAGAAGATTTCCATTTGAGTTGGTATTGCCTCGATACCTTGATTTTCAATTGTGCCTCTCCAATGGTTGAGTACAAAGCCGAACCCCATTAATTCTGGGTTAATCAGCTGTTTTTTCTCCTCCTTCAGTTGTCCTTCATCTACAAGTTTCGGAGAGTGCAGCACTGTCAATCCAATATCTTCTCAGGTCTTTTGGAATGATCACAGTTAGTCTCTCAGGTTGATCAGTGGTTGCGCTCTCCATCAGGGTTTGCACGTTCCATGCATATATTTTGTTTCAGACTGTAAAGAGGTGATCCTACTAGCAACTCCAATGGCATGGAGACCATGACAATTGGGGACCTCTCGCCATTGTGACCATCATCTTCTGCCTGCTCCGCAGTTAAGGTCTTTGTTGGATCGCGTTTTGTCTGTAACCTCCCCATTGAACTTACCGCCATGGGTGATCCTACCAGGAGCTTAAGCTCCAGACGGCATCGCTTGTGATCTCAGGAACTCACAAGAATCTCCACCACGGCAAGGTGGCGATTCCTGGTGACTCAGGATCATTATGGGATGATACTAAGACATTATGAAAATGTCATATAATACTTATATTGACTGCAGGATTATGCATTATATGTGTGTGTCTTATTGAAGTCTAACCTGGGCATGAATCCACAGCCTTGCCTTCAAGCAGTAATCAATGCCTCTGTTTTTTCTTCAATCACACAGTGATAGACCTGTGTGCTGAGGGGAAGCATGACTGTGAGCAGCTCTGTATCGCCTCCCCAGGCGCCTTCACCTGCGATTGCAACGCTGGCTTCACCCTCAATGACGACAACAAGACCTGCACAAGTTAGTGAGGCCATCATTAAGGCAAACAATAGAAGAAGCCTGGACATGAAACAACAACCTTCCCTTCAAGCAGTAATGAGTGTCTCTGTTTTTTGATGATACAGTGATAGACCTTTGTGCTGAGGGGAAGCATGACTGTGAGCAGATCTGTATCGCCTCCCCAGGCGCCTTCACCTGCAACTGCAATGCCGGCTTCACCCTCAACGAAGACAAGAAGACCTGCACAAGTTAGTGAGGCCATCATTAAGGCAAACAATAGAAGAAGCCTGGACATGAAACAACAACCTTCCCTTCAAGCAGTAATGAGTGTCTCTGTTTTTTGATGATACAGTGATAGACCTTTGTGCTGAGGGGAAGCATGACTGTGAGCAGATCTGTATCGCCTCCCCAGGCGCCTTCACCTGCAACTGCAATGCCGGCTTCACCCTCAACGACGACAAGAAGACCTGCGCAGGTTAGTGAGGCCATCATTAAAGCAAACAATAGAATAAGTGTAGACGTGCCGGAGTCTGGCATGGTGGTTGGCCCTCCCGACTCCGAAGCAACTTTCCGGTCTTTGCCACTCTGCTTTCTGCTGTCCGCCTCTTCACTTTCCCACGGTTCTTTAAATCAATCAATAACAAATTCTTATGGTGGATCGGACCTCGGACCACCCCTAGTTAAAAGGTAAAATCTGGTGAAAATGGGCATAATGGAAATAGTCATTGAATTAGGTGAAATATCCTGAAATTATCAACAAAAACTGAGTGGATTATCAAATATAAACACTTAGACCATGGAATGGATTCAATAGTTACTTTTCATACAGTTATTATGCTTTAAGACATGCAAATACTGTATACAGATGTTTTCAGCTACAGTTGTGGTCTGTAGCACCACCAAGGGCCCTTCTCAGATGGGAGCCTCTTAGAAAACTGTGGGAGATGGGAGCCTCTTAGAAAACTGTGGGAGATCCCACTGAACCAGGATAACTTTACCTCGTAAGAATCTGACTTTTTGGGCCAGGGTTATTGAAACTGTAAAGTCATTTTTAAGGGGTAATATGTACAATCAGCCAAATAGGACAGTCACAGATTCTGACAACACATACTGAACATATACAAATAAACAGACTATTTAATCATACATACATACATATATAGACTATGAAATAAACATATTTATAGTTATTTTTGTCATAATTATTATGCTTTAAGTCATGCATATACACAGTAAAAGCATATTTCATTTTGGTCAAACTTGGGCATTAGTGAATACAAATACATTTCTCAGACAGTGTAGATCCTACTCAGAAAGAAACTTCTGAACAATAAGCACTTTACCTTGTGAGGATCTGACATTCTGGGGCAGAGATATTGGAACTAAGGGGGCCAGTATAAATGCAGTCAAAGTTGACATTTTTTAGGTAATGGTAGGCCATATTCTCTAAATATATGACTAACATCCTAATGTATACTTGAATATGCATACTTGGAAAATGGCAACGTCCATCATGACAATTTATTGAAGATTTGTGGTTCATGACATACAAATACTCAGACTTTCTAATGCCTGGACGTCATTTGTGCAGAGCTACCTCTAATGTTTGTCATAATTAAAGCACTTCACCCAAATATATATTCTATTGCAATCATACTGTGAAATTAATGGAATCAAACTTTTAGTTTATGTGAGCGACAGTACAGACTATACATTCCTTAGTTACAGTATCAGTCCAGTCCAGTTACCATACTTAATTTAGAATTTGGGAATTTGCTACAAACACAATACTTTTCTCATTGTTCTTTTTAATACGCACACAATAAAATATAAACCTGAAATTAACTAAATGGATCACCACATCGCAATTTTTATGTTTAATGTATTTACACTGAACAAAACTATTAAACGCAACAAGAAACAATTCCACGTGACTGGGAATACAGATATGCATCTATTGGTGACAGATACCTTTAAAAAAAAGGTAGGGCCGTGAATAAAAAAAACAGTCAGTATCTGGTGTGACCATCATTTGCCTCATGAAGCGCGACACATCTCCTTCGCATAGAGTTGATCAGGCTGTTGATTGTGGCCTGTGGAAGGTTGTCCCACTGCTCTTCAATGGCTGTGCAAAGTTGCTGGATATTGGTGGGAACTGGAACATGCTGCCGTACAAGTAGATCCAGAGCATCCCAAACATGCTCAATGGGTGACATTTCTGGTGAGTATGCAGGCCATGGAAGAACTGGGACATTTTCAGCTTCCAGGAATTGTGTGCAGATCCTTGCGACATGGTGCTGTGCATTATCATGCTGAAATGTGAGGTGATGGCGGCGGATGAATGGCACGACAATGGGCCTCAGGATCTCGTCACGGTATCTCTGTGCATTCAAATTGACATAGATAAAATGCAATTGTGTTCATTGTCCATCGCTTATGCCTGCCCATACCATAACTCCACCGCCACCATGGGGCACTCTGTTCACAACGTTGACATCAGCAAACCACTCGCCCACACGACGCTGTCTGCCATCTGCACGGTACAGTTGAAACAGGAATTAATCTGTGAAGAGCACACTTCTCTAGCGTGCCAGTGGCCATCGAAGGTGAGCATTTGCTCACTGAAGTCGGTTACGACGCCAAACAGCAGTAAGGTCAAGACCCTGGTGAGGATGACAAGCACACAAATGAGCATCCCTGAGACGATTTCTGACAGTTTGTGCAAAAATTCTTCAGTTGTTCAAACCTACAGTTTCATCAGCTGTCTGGGTGGCTGGTCTCAGACCATCCCGCATGTGAAGAAGCTGGATGTGGGGGTCCTGTGCTGACGTGGTTACGTGGTCTGTGGTTGTGAGGCCGGTTGGACGTACTGCCAAATTCTCTAAAGCGACTTTGGAGGCGGCTTATGGTAGCGAAATGAACATTCAATTATCTGGCAACAGCTCTGGTGGACATTCCTTTAGTCAGCATGCCAATTGCAAGCTCCCTCAAAACTTGAGACATCTGTGGCATTGTGTTCTGTGACAAAACTGAACATTTTAGAGTGGCCTTTTATTGTACCCAGCACAAGGTCCACCTGTGTAATGATCATGCTGTTTAATCAGCTTCTTGATATGCCACACCTGTCAGGTGGATGGATTATCTTGGCAAAGGAGAAATGCTCACTAACAGGGATGTAAACAAATTTGTGCACAACATTTTAGAGAAGTAAGCTTTTTGTGCTTATGGAACATTTCTGGGATATTTTATTCAACTCTATTCAAGTATGTGTATGTATGTGTCATAAGGAACATTAATCATCTTCAATAAACTGTCATCATTTTATACAAGGTGTCGAAAGCGTTCCTCAGGGATGCTGGCCCATGTTAACTCCAATGCTTCCCACAGTGGTGTCAAGTTGGCTGGATGTCCTTTAGGTGGTGGAACATTCTTGATATACACAGGAAACTGTTGAGCATGAAAAACCCAGCAGCGTTGCAGTTCTTGAGACAAACTGGTGCGGCTGGCACCTACTACCACACCCCAAAGGCATTTCAATATTGTGTCTTGCCCATTCACCCTCTGAATGGCACACATACACAATCCATGTCTCAATTGTCTCAAGACTTAAAAATCATTCTTTAATCCTTCTTCATCTACCTAAAAAAAAATCAACTTTGACTGCATTTACACTTGTCCCCTTAGTTCCAATATCTCTGGACCAGAATGTCAAATCCTCACAAGATAAAGTGCTTATTGTTCAGTAGTGTCTTTCTGAGTAGTTAGAGGGGATCTACACTATCAGTAATTAGAGGGGAGAAAGGTTTTTGTTAGCTAATGTCCATGTTTGACCATGTTTTCTGTGTATATGCATAACGTATAGCACAATAATTATGACAAAATTAACTATAAATATGTTTTGTCCATACTCTAAGTATGTATGTATGATTAAATAGTATGTTTATACGTTCAGTAATATGTTCAGTAAATTAGTTCAGAATCTGTGGCTATCCTTTTTGGCTGCTTGTACATTTTACCCCTTAGAAATGTCATTTGCTAAGATTCTTAAATCCTTGGTAAATGTACAACTTTGCTCTTTTTTATCTGAGAAATATATTTAGAATGTAAATCAATCAGGGTTTAGGCCTGGGCAGAGCACTATTAAAGTAACCACTTTAATGATCTTGTCAATGCTTTAGACACTAAAATAAAATGTGTTTGTGGACCTGGCAAAAGCTTTTGATACTGTTGATCATGCTATTTTATTGAAGAAGTTGTCCTCAATAGGCCTGAGCACTGACGCCTGTCATGATTGCATGACTATCTTAGTGACAAAACTCAGGCCATCGTGATTGATGGGGTTAAGTCCACATTTCTTGAAGAACATAAGGTGTTCCGCAGGGGTCGATACTAGGACCTGTTCTTTTCACTATTTATATAAATGCTATTGGTCAATCTGTTAAATTGTTTAAATGTAATCTATATGCAGATGATACTATTATGTACGCAATTCACCCCGACTGCTGACCTGGCTGTGATAAGGTTACGGTCCAATTTTGCAGTTGTGCAGGAAGCCCTTGTTGATATAAAACTTGTACTTAATACGGGCAAAACTAAATACATGTTGTTTTCAAGTTCTCGTAAGATTGTCTCAGATGGATTACATCTTTACTCATCGGATGGTTCTATAATCGAACGAGTCTCTGCATACAAATACCTTGGTATTTGGATTGGCAATGATTTATCATTTAAAAAACAAAAGACTGAGCTTGTTAAGAAACTAAGATTCAAAGTGGGCTTTTCCACCTTACGTGTGGAATGATCGACAATACACTTTAAAATTGAAGGAATGGGTGCCTCTAGGGCATTTCAAATGGTTGTTGGGGGACCTTTGTACCAGCATTGAATCCCTGTCAAAATAAAGATTAAATAAAACAATTACAGTTTCAATATTTCTGGCCCAGAAAGTCAGATTCTTATGAGGAAAATGTATCCTGGTTCAGTGGGTTCTCCCACAGTTTTCTAAGAGGCTCTATATCATCTGAGAAGGGTACTTGGTGGTGCTACAGACCACAACTGTAGCCGAAAAATCTGCATTTTCGTCCTTTCTGTATATCTGCATGCCTTAAATAGAACTTTAAGAAAAGTAACTATTAATGCATCCATTGCATAGTCTAAGTGTTTATGTTTGATAATCCACTAAGTTTCTGTTGTGAATTTCTGGATATTTGACCTAAATCACTAGATTTAACCTTTTGCCCATTGAAAATTGCCTTAAGAATCCAACATACACTTATTTATTTTTACTATTTTCCACATTGTAGAATAATAGTGAAGACATCACAACTATGAAATAACACATATGGAATCATGCAGTAACCAATAAAGTGTTAAACAAATCAAAATATATTCTATATTTGAGATTGTTCAAATAGCCACCCTTTGCCTTGATGACAGCTTTGCACACTCTTGGCAATGTAGAAAATAGTAAAAATAAAGAAAAAGCATTGAATGAGTAGGTGTTCCAAAATTTTTGACCGGTGGTGTAAATTGTTATGGCCGGTGTTGTCTTGTCTGGTGGGGGCTTGGTGGATGACGTGTCTTTTTATGTTCAGGGCCAGACCCAGGAGTGTGTACGTCTTTTCAAAGGCATCCAGAATGCCCTATATGTCTTCTTCCAAGTGGGCAGGGATTGCTTTGTCATGTACATAAAATGGAGACAGATGGCGGCTCTGAAGAGGGCCGGCGTCTTCCTGGTTCCTGCTCGTCTTTGCTTTTTTATGGCTATTTTTGCGTTAATTATTACTTTGTTTTCTCCGAATTTTCATGCAATAATTTCCTACGGCTGACAAACACTTCTGGATCATGAATCGGAAGCTACACACTTATTTCTCAGCCTCCCAGATCTGGAATGCTACATTTGCTCCTTTGTTCTCCACGCAGCGGGCTTACCTGTTGCTGCTGAACAAGATGACCGAAGGCAACACCAGTGACTAAGAAGAGGAAGGAAAGGGGTCTCCAAGCTAGGCTGAAAGGATGGGCTACACAGCCTCCTCTTCCTAGTATCCTGATGGCTAATGTCCAATCGCTGTGAAATACACTTTGAACTCAGAGCAAGGCTTCAATCACAGAAGGACATCACGGAATGCTGTGTTTTTACAGAGACATGGCTTACAGACGATACACTTGACTCTGCTATTCAACCAGACGGCTTTTCCCTTTTCCTTATGGATCGAACGGAGGCTTCTGCTAAGAGTAGGGGGAGGGGTATGTTTCTTCATCAACAATTCCTGGTGAACCGAAGTTGAAAACACCTCGAGCTCCCATTCTCCCAACCTGGAGTTCCTGATGCTAAAATACCGACCCCACTATGTGCAGAGGGAATTCACGGGTTATTATCACAGCTGTGTATATACCTCCACAAGCAAACACCAAGGCAAACTGTACAAGATCATTAGCCAACAAAAATCCTCTTACCCGGAAGCAGTCTTTATTGCTGGATCATGTATATACAAACATCCGTGACATGTAAAAAACCATCCCCCACCCCCATTTCGTCCAATCAGATAACGTCTCTCTGTCCCTACTTCCCACCTACAAGCAGCAACTCAAGAGAGAGCCACCAACACAGAGAATAGTGAGGTGCTGGACAGAGGAGGTAGACTCAATGCTGCAGGATTGTTTTGAGAATACTGATTGGAATATGTTCAATGATTCATCCACCCAGGACTCATCCATTAACATTGAGGAATATACATCGTCAGTCACAGGCTTCATTAGGAAATGTGTTGATGATGTTGAACCCACAATAACAACCCCAACCAAAATCCCTGAATGAAGTGCAGCTTTCAACGTAAGCAGAATGAACCCTGATGACTCAGTGGCGCACGACGCGTACACGGCAAGCAGGTACAAGCTCTGCAAATTCATTAGGGATGCAAAAAGACAATACAGACTCAAACTTGAATTGATGTTCGACAACTCAAATGCATGTGGGAAGGACTACAGACTAATACAGACTACAAAGACAAAGCCTCGCTCCCAGACAAGCTTACCACATTCTATGCTCGATTCGAGGCAGACAATGCAGAGCCATTCAGGAAGACTCTAGCTGTTCTGGATGACCAGGTGTTTCGCTCTCAAATCAAATCAAATTTTATTTGTCACATACACGTGTTTAGCAGATGTTATTACGGGTATAGCGAAATGCTTGTGCTTCTAGCTCCGACAGTGCAGTAATATCTAACAAATAATATCTAACAATTTCACAACATATACCCAATAAACACAAATATAGGTAAGGAATGGAATTAACAAATATACATATATGGACAAGCAATGACAGAGCGGCATGGACTAAGATACAGTAGAATATGATAGAAAACAGTATATACACATATGAGATGAGTAATGCAAGATATGTAAACATTATTAAAGTGACTAGTGTTTCATTTCTTAATGTCGCCAATGATTTATATAGGCAACAGCAGCCTCTAATCTGCTAGTGATAGCTATTTAACAGTCTGATGGCCTTGAGATAGAAGCCTTTTTCTCAGTCTCTCGGTCCCAGCTTTGATGCACCTGTACTGACCTCGCCTTCTGGATGATAGCGGGGTGAACAGGCAGTGGCTCGGATGGTTGATGTCCTTTTTGGCCTTCCTGTGACATCAGGTGCTATAGGGTGTCCTGGAGGGCGGGTAGTTTGCCCCTGGTAATGTGTTCGGCAGACCGCACCACCCTCTGGAGAGCCCTGCGGTTGCGGACAGTGGAGTTGCCGTACCAGGTGGTGATACAGCCCGACAGGATGTTCTCAATTGTGCATCTGTAAAAGTTTGTGTGGGTTTTAGTTGCCAAGCCAAATTTCTTTAGCCTCCTGAGGTTGAAGAGGCTCTGTTGCGCCTTCTTCACCACACTGTCTGTGTGGATGGACCATTTCAGTTTGTCAGTGATGTGTACGCCAAGGAACTTGAAGCTTTCCACCTTCTCCACTGCGGTCCCGTCGATGTGGATAGGGGGGTGCACCCTCTGCTGTTTCCTGAAGTCCACGATCATCTCCTTTGTTTTGTTGACGTTGAGTGAGAGGTTCTTTTCCTGGCACCACACTCCCAGGGCTCTCACCTCCTCCCTGTATGCTGTCTCATTGTTGGTAATCAAGCCTACTACTGTTGTGTCGTCTGCAAACTTGATGATTGACTTGGAGCTGTGCTTGGCCACGCAGTCATGGGTGAACAGGGAGTACAGGAGGGGGCTGAGCACGCACCCAGCGAAGTGGAGGTGTTATTTCCTACCTTCACCACCTGGGGTTGGCCCGTCAGGAAGTCCAGGACCCAGTTGCATAGGGCGGGATTCAGACCCAGAGCCTCTAGCTTAATGATGCTTGGAGGGTACTATGGTGTTGAATGCTGAGCTATAGTCAATGAACAGCATTCTTACATAGGTATTCCTCTTGTCCAGATGGGATAGGGCAGTGTGCAGTGTGATGGCGATTGCATCGTCTGTGGATCTATTGGGGCAGTAAGCAAATTGAAGTGGGTCTAGGGTGACAGGTAAGGTAGAGGTGATACGATCCTTGACTAGTCTCTCAAAGCAGTTCATGATGACAGAAGTGAGTGCTACGGGGCTATAGTCATTTAGTTCCGGCAGCCTTGCGGGGGTTAACATTATTAAATGTCTCCGAGACTGAGGTGAGGAAAACTCTCAAAAGAGTGAATACTCGCAAAGCCGCCGGCCAGATGGAGTGTGTGGTGACCAGCTGGCAGGCGTCCTCTGACATTTTCAACCTGTCCCTGTCCCAGGCTGTAGTCCCCACCTGCTTCAAGGAGACCACCCTCGTCCCAGTGTCCAAGAAAAACAAGGTGACATGCCCAAATGTCTATCGCCCTGCCGCACTCACCCTGGCCATCATGAAGTGCTTCGAGAGGCTGGTCATGGCTCACATCAAGGCCAGCATGCCAGGCACACTGGACCCATTCCAATTTGGAAGGATGGCAGCAATGAAGATTACAAAAAGGGTGGGGCAATGATGCAGCCCTGTTTCATCCCAGTTTCCATCTTCAAGGGTTCCATTTTAGCACCACTGTAAATGATCAGTGTTGCCGACATGTCCTGCAGCAGTCACAGTACCCTGGTGAGCTGGTCAGGTTAGCTGATATTTTACAGAATCAGCCAAAGGGCATGACAGTTCATAGTCAAATCATTTTGTAAGGTCTATAAAGGTCATGTAAAGTGTTTGCTTTTTCTCTTGCAGTTATGGTGTTGTGAAAATCATGTCCGTTGTGCCTCTGGATGGGCGAAAGCCTCATTGTGATTCTGGGAGGGGTAGGAGTTGGTTGGCCAGTACGTGATTTAAGTATTTTCCCAGTGGTGGACAGTAGGAATATGCATGCCTATGTAGTTCCCACAAATGTTCTTGTCCCCCTTTTTAAAGATGGTAACAATTTGAGTTCTGTGGGAATTCTCTCCTTGTGCCAGATCTTCAGGAGCAGGGCATGTATGCGGTGTAAGAAAGAGCACTTAGGCTCAGGTATGTGGCCTTGCTATTTCTTACCTTCTTGATGGCATTTTGTACCTCCTACTTGCTAAGTGGTTTTCCTAGGTCTTCCTTTATGATTTGCTGAGGGGTTTGGTCGAGGATCTCCATCTCAACGGTTGTACTTCGGTTTGAAGAGTTCTTCTAAGTGTTCTCTCCAATGGGATGTGATTGATTCATCATCCTTCAGCAGCTTTTGTCCATCTTTGGAGCGAAACAGGTTTAGGCCACGGGAACTGGGTCTGTATACTGCCTTGGTGGCATCGAAGAAGCCTTGGGTATCGCCAGAGTCTACCAGCTACTGCAATTCCAGTGCCTTACCTGTCCACCATTTTTTCGAGTCCCTTCACCCAGGGTTGGACATCCACCTTCGCTCTGGCGTGAGTCTCTCTTTTGCCTTAACAGCTTACCAAAAACAGTCTTGTGGTATTGCAGTTTCCTGTTATCACCCAGACTATGTTGAGTATTGGCTGTCTTAGCCCTAGTTTGCACCATTCTTTTTTGCATCAGTCTAATGGACATAGTGGAGTAGATCAAGGAATGGTCTGTCCTGTCCAAGAGTCATCTGGACTTGTGATGTTCATATCACGACAATCCTTGCTTCAGACAATGACATAGTCAATGATATGCCAGAGTGGGGATAAATCCAGGATATTTTGTTTTTCTGATGGAAGAGTGTGTTGGTGATGATAAGGTCATGTTCTACAAATTTGGTTAGGAGAATAACTCCATTTGAGTTGGTTTGCTGACACCTTCCTTCCCAATCATGCCTCTCCAAATGTTGTGGTCCTGGCCGACCCTGGCAGTAAAATCCCCAAGAAGAATGATTGTGTCTTCCTTAGGAATACTTGAGAGTCCAAGTTGGTATAGAAGGTCTCAAACAATGGAAGAACTTTGGGCATTAACCACAACCTTCCCTTCAAGCTGTAATGTGTTTCTGTTTTTTATGATACAGTGATAGACCTGTGTGCTGAGGAGAAGCATGACTGTGAGCAGATCTGTATCACCTCCCCGGGCACCTTCACCTGTGACTGCAACACTGGCTACACCCTCAATGACGACAAGATGACCTGCACAAGTTAGTGAGGCCATCATCAGGCCAAATAATAGAGGAAGCCCAGATATGAAACAACAACCTTCCCTTCAAGCAATAATCAGTGTCTCTGTTTTTATGATACAGTGATAGACCTGTGTGCTGAGGGGAAGCATGACTGTGAGCAGATCTGTATCGCCTCCCCAGGCGCCTTCACCTGTGACTGCAACACTGGCTTCAAACTCAACAATGATAAGAATACCTGCACAAGTTAGTGAGGCCATCATTAGCGAGGCCATCATTTACTGTAGCTAGGGGCAGCATATTTGAGGCGGCTGCTGGGTGAGATTTGCGGTGAACATTGTGAGCGCAATAAACCTAAAGTATGTACTCATCCGTGTTTATCAAGCTTGAGACCCAGCATTAAAATACAGATATTGGAAATCCACATTTGAAAATAGGTTTTGAAAATTAAAGGAATATTCATATTTTTGGTCCATATTACTTGCACACAACAGGACTTGATCTGCGTTCAAATTGCATGTGTTTTCTTTCTAATATTTTCAGCACTTGATTGAGCCTGACTGGAATGCTAGATGGGCGGCGTTTGCACTTTTGGGACTATGTCAGTCCAAGTCAGCTCAATCAAAAGCGGCTAAAGTATTCAAAACAATACAAATACTATTTGAACCCAGGTCTGTTTCTTAATAGAAACATCTGTGCTGTTGGTCACAATCAAATAACATTAACTTGCTTTTATGCCATGTAGTTACTTTTTAACTACATTAGTAACAAGAACGCAATTACTGGCTATCTATGCTATCAGATAGATAGGAGTTAGCATTTAGCAAAAAAAATCTACACCCGAAAAGGACAACATCTAAATATTATGCTGCAAAAACAGCCAAATATATCCAAATTGGATTTTAGTAACCACATTAGAAATGTTATAAAATGTGCACGTTGTTAGTATCAGCTTTTTTGAATGGTGCCAATAACGGCATCCTTGTGCTGTCCCTCATGGCGTCCCATTGATCCTGGACCAAAGCTATGACACCACACACTTCTCATCCACTGCCCCTCAGTTTTTCAGTGTGTCCATGTGTGTGTTTGTCCCTCCACAGACCTTGACCTGTGTAACACAGTGGAGCATGGCTGTGAGCACCAGTGTATCAGTACACCAGGATCCTACTACTGCATCTGCCCTGAGGGACAGCTACTGGCAGAGGATGGCAAGGGCTGCGGAAGTAAGTATACTTCACACACCCACTGAATACAATAATGTGAACACCCTCATGGTTCTTTCTTCTCATCTGAAGAACCCTTTTTGGAAGATGAGGGTTCTTCATAAGGCAAACGGTTCTTCCTAGAACCCTTTTCTTCCTAAAAAGCTGTTTTTGGAAGAAATTGTTATTTGATGATTCATTGGTAGGCAAAAAGGGTTCTACATAGAACCCTTCTGAATCTGAATAAGCATTTTTATAGATTGTATTTCTTTATTTTGAATAGTGCCTGATCATTAATGTTTACATCAGTTAAAATGTTAACATCAGTTTGAGTAATCAGAGTTTAAAAAGATAGGTATGAGGAATTGTACCTATATGGGAATATTTGTGCATGTACCTGGTATTCCCTTAATAATTTTACATAGACAGTACTGACATAGTTGATATCTTTGCCATGATTTCTGTCATTCAAATTAGTATTTTCTGTGATTTAATTGAGCAGAGAGTAGGAGAATAGAAGTATAAGTGAACCAGCAGTGTAGTGTATGGTTCACAGAAAATTGGTCAGTGTAACCTAGAGTTGATTATTCAGTGTAACATTTTTAGTGTTGATTCAGGAGTTAAATAATAATTTGAGTGTGATTGTGTCATTCAACTCTGTGTAGAGTAAAACACGCAAAACCACACCCATCTTATCATACTGTATTTCCCATCATGTTCTAGTGTAGGTTGATTTTCAGAATTGTTTCTTTCAATGTCTGTGTTTTTCATGTACGTTGATTGGTTGATTAATCAAATGCTACACAACATAAGTAACATACACTACCAGGCAAAAGTTTTACAACCCCTACTCATTCAAGGGTTTTTCTTTATTTTTACTATTTTCTACATTGTAGAATAGTGAAGACATCACAATTATGAAATAACACATATGGAATCATGTAGTAACCAAAAAAGTGTTGAACAAATCAAAATATATTTTATATTTGAGATTCTTCAAATAGCCATACTTTGCCTTTATGACAGCTTTGCACACTCTTGGCGTTCTCTCAACCAGCTGCATGAGGTAGTCACCTGGAATGCATTTCAATTAACAGGTGTGCCTTCTTAAAAGTTGATTTGTGGAATTTATTTCCTTCATAATGCGTTTGAGCCTATCAGTTGTGTTGTGACAAGGTAGGGGGAGTATACAGAAGATAGCCCTATTTGGTAAAAGACCAAGTTCATATTATGGCAAGAACAGCTCAAATATGTAGAGAGAAACGACAGTCCATCATTACTTGAAGACATGAAGGTCAGTCAATACGGAACATTTCAAGAACTTTGAACAAGTGCAGTCGCAAAAACCATCAAGTGCTTTGATGAAACTGGCTCTCATGAGGACCGCCACAGGAAAGGAAGACCCAAAGTTACCTCTGCTGCAGAGGATAAGTTCATTAGAGTTAACTGCACCTCAGATTGCAGCCCAAATAAATGCTTCACAGACACATCAACATCAACTGTTCAAGGGAGACTGTGTGAATCAGGCCTTCATGGTTGAATTGCTGCAAAGAAACCACTACTAAAGGACACCAATAAGACGAAGAGACTTGCTTGGGCCAAGAAACATGAGCAATGGACATTAGACCGGTGGGAATGTGTCCTTTGGTCTGGAGTCCAAATTTGAGATTTTGGGTTCCAACCGCCGTGTCTTTGTGAGACGCGGTGTTGGGGGACGGATTATCTCTGCATGTTTATTTCCCACCGTAAAGCATGGAGGAGGAAGTGTTATGGTGTGGGGGAGCTTTGCTGGTGACACTGTCTGTGATTTACTTAGAATTCAAGGCACACTTAACCAGTGATACGCCATCCCATCTAGTTTGGGCTTAGTGGGACTATCATTTGTTTATCAACAGGACAATGAACCAACACACCTCCAGGCTGTGTAAGGGCTATTTTACCAAGAAGGAGAGTGATGGAGTGCTGCATCAGATGACATGGCCTCCACAATCCCCCGACCTCAACCCAATTGAGATGGTTTGGGATGAGTTGGACCGCAGAGTGAAGGAAAAGCAGCCAACAAGTGCTCAGCATATGTGGGAACTTTTGAAAAATCATTCCAGGTGAAGCTGGTTGAGAGAATGCCAAGTGTGTGCAAAGCTGTCATCAAGGCAAAGGGTGGCTATTTGAAGAATCTCAAATATAACATATATTTTGATTTGTTTAACACTTTTTTGGTTACTACATGATTCCACGTGTTATTTCATAGTTTTGATATCTTCACTATTATTTTACAATGTGAAAAATAAGAAAAAGAAAGAAAAACCCTTGAATGAGTAGGTGTGTCCAAACTCTTGACTGGTAGTGTATGTAATGTATTGTCATAAAGTGTAGTGATGGACGTTCCATGTCTTTTCCGTAAGCCGGATCTTTTGGCTCTTTTCACCAAAATGAGCACTTCATTTGGCTCCCAAACGGCTCTTCATTCAGTAGTGCTTAAAAAATGTATGAAAATGTATAGCAAATGTGTAATGTAAAGCCTAAAAGGTTGCCCATCATTATGTCAGATCGTGAAATGTGTGTTCAAATACATTTTACCTAACGAAATTAGATCGCTTGCAAAAAAAAGTACTATAATTTTAACGCACTGCAAAAATTGAGTGTGGACAAGATTGAGGCTCTCTCCTCACTACTTATTATTCCTGCAGTGAGGAATTACCATCTTCAGAGAATGTTTTTATAACTTATAGATAATCGTTGTGTGGAGCTCAAAAAGCAGTAGTAACAGTATTCAAATCAGGGAACCAAATGAACAGCTCTTCACAAATATATGATTCGGTTCCCGACGTTCACCAAAAAGATCTGTTCAAAAATAGCAGTTCAATCGCGAACGACTCATCACTAATAGAGAGTTGAATTTTCAAGGCTAATAAGACTGGTGGAACCGTTCATATAGGGTTCTAGGAAGAACCCTTCAAAGATAAAAGGGTTCTTGGTAGAACCATTTATGGAGGGTTCTACCTAGCACCAAAAAGGGTTCCCTTATGGAGACAAGCCGAAGAACCCTATATTGTTCTAATAAGCACCTTTTTTTCTCAGTGTACATCTCCTGTGATTCACCAGGGGTTTAATCATTAGTCCAAACAGTTGTGTTTGCTTTGTTATGTTTTGCAACTAAAACAAGAGTTTCTATTGGACAAATTCAGGTAGGTCCCTCCCCGTTTCGTTCCGTTTGCTTCCGTTTAAGATATGTTTTGCAACCGAATCGGCGTAATAAATACACCCCTGGATGCAATGGCACTATACAACTACTTCTATTCAGTTGTCTCTCTGTAGTATCTAGAATACAGTATCTAACGTGCTCTAAAACTAAAATGAGCAACAGTCGTCAAAATGGATAAAAGGTCAAAAATAAAGTTCTGATAAATGTAACAGATGCATAATGGAGTAAGACACTCAACTCATTTTGAATAAAACAAATCCTTCAAATATCGACTGTATTATAGCACATAAACAATTGTATAATGAGAGCAAATCTATGGAATCGAGACATTTGTGGGATTTCAATGATTCAATTGAATGTCAAATGTAATTGTTTCTTCTTTGAAATTATACAAATGTTTTTAAACCACATATGGCCCTTTTATATGTTTTGCTATTATATTGATAGAATAATGAAGTTTGAAAATAACTAATTTCAATATACTGTACATACAGTGCCTTCATAAAGTATTTGTATTTGTATTTATTAGGGATCCCCATTGGCTGCTGCCAAGACAGCAGCTACTCTTCCTGGGGTCCAAACACATTAAGGCACTTACATCACACATAAAACAAAAGATAAAACAGCACATCATTTAACATTATTACACCACTACATATCTACAATACAAAATGTATAATACCACCATACAACATTACAATGTACGTGTGTAGAGTGTGTGTGCTAGCGTGTGTGTGTGTATGTGTGTGTCTGTTCCTGTGTGTGTCTCTCTCTTCACAGTCCCCGCTGTTCCATAAGGTGTATTTTTAACTGTTTTTTAAATCTGATTCTATTGCTTGCATCAGTTACCTGATGTGGAATAGAGTACAGTGGGGAAAAAAAGTATTTAGTCAGCCACCAATTATGCAAGTTCTCCCACTTAAAAAGATGAGAGAGGCCTGTAAATTTCATCATAGGTACACGTCAACAGACAAATTGAGAAAAAAAATCCAGAAAATCACATTGTAGGATTTTTTATGAATTTATTTGCAAATTTGGTCACCTACAAAAAAGCAAGATTTCTGGCTCTCACAGACCTGTAACTTCTTCTTTAAGAGGCTCCTCTGTCCTCCACTCGTTACCTGTATTAATGGCACCTGTTTGAACTTGTTATCAGTATAAAAGACACCTGTCCACAACCTCAAACAGTCACACTCCAAACTCCACTATGGCCAAGACCAAAGAGCTGTCAAAGGACACCAGAAACAAAATTGTAGACCTGCACCAGGCTGGGAAGACTGAATCTGCAATAGGTAAGCAGCTTGGTTTGAATAAATCAACTGTGGGAGCAATTATTAGGAAATGGAAGACATACAAGACCACTGATAATCTCCCTCGATCTGGGGCTCCACGCAAGATCTCACCCTGTGGGGTCAAAATGATCACAAGAACAGTTAGCGAAAATTCCAGAACCACATGGGGGGACCTAGTGAATGACCTGCAGAGAGCTGGGACCAAAGTAACAAAGCCTACCATCAGTATCACACTACGCCGCCAGGGACTCAAATCCTGCAGTGCCAGACGTGTCCCCATGCTTAAGCCAGTACATGTCCAGGCCAGTCTGAAGTTTGCTAGAGTGCATTTGGATGATCCAGAAGAGGATTGGGAGAATGTCATATGGTCAGATGAAACCAAAATATAACTTTTTGGTAAAAACTCAACTCGTCGTGTTTGGAGGACAAAGAATGTTGAGTTGCATCCAAAGAACACCATACCTACTGTGAAGCATGGGGGTGGAAACATCATGCTTTGGGGCTGTTTTTCTGCAAAGGGACCAGGACGACTGATCCGTGTAAAGGAAATAATGAATGGGGCCATGTATCGTGAGATTTTGAGTGAAAACCTCCTTCCATCAGCAAGGGCATTGAAGATGAAACGTGGCTGGGTCTTTCAGCATGAAACACACCGCCCGGGCAACGAAGGAGTGGCTTCGTAAAAAGCATTTCAAGGTCCTGGAGTGGCCTAGCCAGTCTCCAGATCTCAACTCCATAGAAAATCTTTGGAGGGAGTTGAAAGTCTGTGTTGCCCAGCGACAGCCCCAAAACATCACTGCTCTAGAGGAGATCTGCATGGAGGAATGGGCCAAAATACCAGCAACAGTGTGTGAAAACCTTGTGAAGACTTACAGAAAACGTTTGACCTGTGTCATTGCCAACAAAGGGTATATAACAAAGTATTGAGAAACTTTTGTTATTGACCAAATACTTATTTTCCACCATAATTTGCAAATTAATTAATTAAAAATCCTACAATGTGATTTTCTGGATTTTTTTTCCTCATTTTGTCTGTCATAGTTGACGTGTACCTATGATGAAAATTACAGGCCTCTCTCATATTTTTAAGTGGGAGAACTTGCACAATTGGTGGTTGACTAAATACTTTTTTTCCCCCACTGTACTTGCAGTGCATAGGCTACTCCATTCAACTTGTATCCTTCCCCATTTCCAAAGAGCGCCTCTTGTCCGGTTAACAAATACACGCCAAACATATTCAAGTTATTCACTCATATAACACCATATCAACGGTAGGGCCTAGGCTATATCTTTGCTTATTGATAACGTGCCTCACACATACAATACAATTTACAGGAGCGTAGCATTTTTTATTTGAGCAGAAGTGCGGTGCATATAATCATTGAAGCCAATGACAACAATGTTGACTGTCAACACTCCAAACATATTGAGCAAACACTAATGTTGTTTTTCACTGTTGCTATTACTGGTTACTGCAATAATTGACATAGCTATTTTCTACCAATTGAGGTACTCAAAGCACTTTATATAGTAGAGGGAAACTCACCTCATCCACCACCAATGTGTAGCACCCACCTAGATGATGCACAGCAACCATTTTTGTGCCAGAACACTCACCACACATCAGTTTAGAAGTTATATATGCCAATTAGGAATGAGGGGGATGATTAGGTGGCCATGATGGAATAGGGCCAGGTTGGGAATTCAGCCATGACACCATCTCTACTCTTACAATAAGTGCCATGGGATTTTTAAATGACCACAAAGAGTCAGGACACCCGTTTAATGTAACATCTGAAAGACAGCTCCCTACGCAGGGCAATGTCCACTTCACTACCCTGGGCATTGAGATTTCCTTAGACCAGAGGGAAGAATGCCCCATACTGGCCCTCCAACACCAGATCCAGCAGCATCTGGTCTCCCATCCAGGGACTGACCCAGATCAACCCTGCTTAGCTTCAGAGGCAAGCCAGCAGTGGGATGCAGGGTGGTATGCTGCTATTTAATAAACTGTATCAATCCACAATGGACTAGGAAGAGACTATTCCGTGCCCTCAGCCGAATTAAGACAACGCAAAGACCGTCAATAACCTACAGAACTTGAGACAACGGCATGCAGTATTAAGCCGTGAAACACATTGATTGGCCAGTGAGTTTCTAAGCCCTCTTCACACCTATAATTAATTTTGCACCACCGCCAGCTATTGCACTCAATTCCCGCATGTGAAAATAGCTAAAATATTTTTGATACACCTCCGGACCTATAGCCCTACTGCCAGCGCTAAGATTTATCATTGCGCTAGGTTTGTAAAAATAGAACCCCTATAGCCCATGTCTACGATTTCCAACAATACCCCCATCCTTTTGAGGCATAGTTTCACACTTCTCCACGATAGTAAAGCTCAAGAGAAAAGGTGGTTTGCACAGGTAATCGTATGAATATTGTCCGTTTCTATTTTGAAATCTATCGGTGACGTGACAATTAGTTGACAAATGGATTATCCACTTCTCAAACAAAACCAAATGAAAGCTGAACTGAGCTGTATTCTCAGGTGGGCGTGGCTTGAGCCTTGCTACTGAAATGACATAACCTACAAATAAAACCAGCTCTTCCAAAATAAAAATATTTAGCCAGGTAAGTCTTTGAGAACAAATTCTCTTTTTCAATGCCGATCTGGTAAAATGCATAATAACTGCACATCCCACAGTGTTTTATGAAAGACCTACAATCCATGCATGGTAAATGAAAGGGGCATGTTACTGTATGAAAAGGGCCCTAATTACCCCCAATGTCCCACCCAGCCTGCAGATCGGCCAACATCGACCTGGTCCTCCTCATCGATGGCTCAAAAAGTGTGCGTCCTCAGAACTTTGAGCTGGTCAAGCAGTTTGTCAACCAGGTGGTGGACTCCCTGGATGTGTCGGCCCATGGGACACGAGTGGGCCTAGTGCAGTACTCCAGCCGCGTGCGAACCGAGTTCGCCCTCAAAATGTACCAGAAGGCGGATGACATCAAGAAGGCGGTGATGAACGTGGAGTACATGGAGAAGGGCACCATGACGGGCCTGGCCCTCAAGCACATGGTGGAGAACAGCTTCTCGGAGGCAGAGGGTGCCCGCAAGAACATCCCTCGTGTGGGCCTGGTCTTCACTGACGGCCGCTCTCAGGACGACATCACCGAGTGGGCCAAGAAGGCCAAAGAAGCAGGTAGGTGACAAGGGGGCTGAGATATTTAATTGCCTGGTGTATTATAAAGCGCCTGCAGTAATGTTTACATAAGGCCAAGAGAATGACAAAGATTGCATATAGCATGATTAGGAAATATGGAATCAATTGGTTCATACATGAAAACAGTTTAATAACTTTTTCTTTAAAGCATACTACTTACTACAGTGGGGAGAACAAGTATTTGATACACTGCCGATTTTGCAGGTTTTCCTACTTACAAAGCATGTAGAGGTCTGTAATTTTTATCATAGGAACACTTCAACTGTGAGAGACGGAATCTAAAACAAAAATCCAGAAAATCACATTGTATGTTTTTTAAGTAATTCATTTGCATTTTATTGCATGACATAAGTATTTGATACATCAGAAAAGCAGAACTTAATATTTGGTACAGAAACCTTTGTTTGCAATTACAGAGATCATACGTTTCCTGTAGGTCTTGACCAGGTTTGCACACACTGCAGCAGGGATTTTGGCCCACTCCTCCATACCTTCTCCAGATCCTTCAGGTTTCGGGGCTGTCGCTGGGCAATACAGACTTTCAGCTATTGGGTTCAGGTCTGGAGACTGGCTAGGCCACTCCAGGACCTTGAGATGCTTCTTATGGAGCCACTCCTTAGTTGCCCTGGCTGTGTGTTTCGGGTCGTTGTCATGCTGGAAGACCAAGCCACGACCCATCTTCAATGCTCTTACTGAGGGAAGGAGGTTGTTGGCCAAGATCTCACGATACATGGCCCCATCCATCCTCCCCTCAATACGGTGCAGTCATCCTGTCCCCTTTGCAGAAAAGCATCCCCAAAGAATGATGTTTCCACCTCCATGCTTCACGGTTGGGATGGTGTTCTTGGGGTTGTACTCATTCTTCTTCTTCCTCCAAACACGGTGAGTAGAGTTTAGACCAAAAAGCTATATTTTTGTCTCATCAGACCACATTACCTTCTCCCATTACTCCTCTGGATCATCCAGATGGTAATTAGCAAACTTCAGACGGGCCTGGACATGCGCTGGCTTGAGCAGGGGGACATTGCGTGCGCTGCAGGATTTTCTTTGAGACTGTGGTCCTAGCTCTCTTCAGGTCATTGACCAGGTCCTGCCGTGTAGTTCTGGGCTGATCCCTCACCTTCCTCATGATCATTGATGCCCCTCGAGGTGAGATCTTGCATGGAGCCCTAGACCGAGGGTGATTGACCGTCATCTTGAACTTCTTCCATTTTCTAATAATTGCGCCAACAGTTGTTGCCTTCTCACCAAGCTGCTTGCCTATTGTCCTGTAGCCCATCCCAGCCTTGTGCAGGTCTACAATTTTATTATTGATGTCCTTACACAGCTCTCTGGTCTTGGCCATTGTGGAGAGGTTGGAGTCTGTTTGATTGAGTGTGTGGACAGGTGTCTTTTATACAGGTAACGAGTTCAAACAGGTGCAGTTAATACAGGTAATGAGTGGAGAACAGGAGGGCTTCTTAAAAAAAAACTAACAGGTCTGTGAGAGCCGGAATTCTTATTGGATGATAGATGATCAAATACTTATGTCATGCAATAAAATGCAAATTAATTACTTAAAAATGATACAATGTGATTATCTGGATTTTTGTTTTAGATTCTGTCTCTCACAGTTGAAGTGTACCTATGATAAAAATGACACACCACTACGTGCTTTGTAAGTAAGAAAACCTGCAAAATCGGCAGTGTATCAAATACTTGTTCTCCCCACTGTACTTACAGACAAATGGGCTGCCATTTGCTACTTTGGTGTGTGACTGCCTGTTTCAACAAAACAGTTCTTGCAATCAAATACAATTTAGGACTTCCTCCAACATTCTAGTGATATATTGTATTGTCCTCTGTGCCAGGAATCACCATGTATGCTGTTGGCGTTGGGAAGGCCGTCGAGGATGAGCTACATGAGATTGCCTCAGAGCCACTAGACAAGCACTTCTTCTATACCACTGACTTCACTTTCATCAACCAGATAGCAGAGAACCTCAAGCTCAATGTCTGTGCAGGTACTTATTTCTATGATCAAAGCAAATCACAACACATCAGAACATGTTATTTTAGAACACTATCTACAGTCAGGCAATGTGTGTGTGTGTGTGTGTGTGTGTGTGTGTGTGTGTGTGTGTGTGTGTGTGTGTGTGTGTTGGTGTTAGTGTTTGTGTGTGTGTTTTGTTCCCCACAAAGATAGTAAAACAAACGTGTGTTTGTGTGTGTGTGTGTTTCAGAGGAGAGCCAGGGAGAGATTGAGGTGAAAGACCCATGTGCCTGTGAGAGTCTGGTTGAGTTCCAGCAAGCAACAATGTCCACTCTGGAGCAGCTGAAAACAAAACATATCCTTCTATATATTGCACCTGTTCATTAAAGGTGCACTTTGTAGCTTGTCTTTTCCCTGTTGTAGCATGACCAATTACTGTATATGCGACTCATTTCAGGAAACTAGGCGTATGTTTCACGTCACTACTTCACAGAAGCGGTATTTGAACCTAAACATCGTATTTACAAATGCCTTCCGGAACATGTGAACTTTCATGTGCCTTAATAACATACTTGTATGCCATCTGTAAATACGAATACAATTGTTAAATTACTAGCCTAGTTGGTTTAGCCACGGAAAAAGAGGAACCTTCCCGCTAGCCATAATTGGCTGAGATAATGGATGGGCTGGACATGCCGAGAGATGAGTTCGGATTGGTCTTCCATGTAGCATGCGCTGTTCAGTATGTGTAGGTAATCCTTTCTACTGTGGCTTTTTGTGAAAATATCATGAAGAACTGTAAAAGTGTTGCGAATGCCCTCCACTTTCTGGAGGACTATCGTGCCATGCTGACTCTAAAAATGAATCAGACCATGAGAAAATCCCTGATTTACTTAAGTTACACGTGGTCTGCCACTGCGAGGACAATCAGCTGTCCATCCTGTCTCCCTGTAGCGCTGTCTTAGGCATCTCACAGTACGGTCATTGCAATTTATTGCCCTGGCCACATCTGCAGTCCTCATGCCTCCTTGCAGCATGCCTAAGGCAAGTTCACGCAGATGAGCAGGGACCCTGGGCATCTTTCTTTTGGTGTTTTTCATTGTGAGTAGAAAGGCCTCTTTAGTGTCCTATGTTTTCATAACTGTGACCTTAATTGCCTATCGTCTGTAAGCTGTTAGTGTCTTAACGACCGTTCCACAGGTGCATGTTCATTAATTGTTTATGGTTCATTGAACAAGCATATATATACACACACACACACACACACGTATGTATATACGTATATACGTATATACATATACACATACACACACACATACACATACACATACACATACACATACATATACACATACACATACACACACGTATGTACATATATACATACATATACACATTCACATGTACATACACACACACACACACACACACACACATACATACATATACACACATACATATACACATACAGTGGGAAGAACAAGTATTTGATACACTGCCGATTTTGCAGGTTTTCCTACTTACAAAGCATGTAGAGGTCTGTCATTTTTATCATAGGTACACTTAAACTGTGAGAGACGGAATCTAAAACAAAAATCCAGAAAACCACATTGTATGATTTTTAAGTAATTAATTTGCATTTTATTGCATGACATAAGTATTTGATACATCAGAAAAGCAGAACTTAATATTTGGTACAGAAACCTTTGATTGCAATTACAGAGATCATACGTTTCCTGTAGGTCTTGACCAGGTTTGCACACACTGCAGCAGGGATTTTGGCCCACTCCTCCATACAGACCTTCTCCAGATCCTTCAGGTTTCGGGGCTGTCGCTGGGCAATACGGAGTTTCAGCTCCCTCCAAAGATGTTCTATTGGGTTCAGGTCTGGAGACTGGCTAGGCCACTCCAGGACCTTGAGATGCTTCTTACAGAGCCACTCCTTAGTTGCCCTGGCTGTGTGTTTCGGGTCGTTGTCATGCTGGAAGACCAAGCCACGACCCATCTTCAATGCTCTTACTGAGGGAAGGAGGTTGTTGGCCAAGATCTCGCGATACATGGCCCCATCCATCCTCCCCTCAATACGGTGCAGTCGTCCTGTCCCCTTTGCAGAAAAGCATCCCCAAAGAATGATGTTTCCACCTCCATGCTTCACGGTTGGAATGGTGTTCTTGGGGTTGTACTCATCCTTCTTCTTCCTCCAAACACGGCGAGTGGAGTTTAGACCGAAAAGCTCTATTTCTGTCTCATCAGACCACATGACCTTCTCCCATTCCTCCTCTGGATCATCCAGATGTTCATTGGCAAACTTCAGATGGGCCTGGACATGCGCTGGCTTGAGCAGGGGGACCTTGCGTGCGCTGCAGAATTGTAATCCATGACGGCATAGTGTGTTACTAATGGTTTTCTTTGAGACTGTGGTCCCAGCTCTCTTCAGGTCATTGACCAGGTCCTGCCGTGTAGTTCTGGGCTGATCCCTCACCTTCCTCATGATCATTGATGCCCCATGAGGTGAGATCTTGCATGGAGCCCCAGACCAAGGGTGATTGACCATCATCTTGAATTTCTTCCAATTTCTAATAATTGCGCCAACAGTTGTTGCCTTCTCACCAAGCTGCTTGCCTATTGTCCTGTAGCCCATCCCAGCCTTGTGCAGGTCTACAATTTTATCCCTGTAGGAGTCTGTTTGATTGAGTGTGTGGACAGATGTCTTTTATAAAGGTAACGAGTTCAAACAGGTGCAGTTAATACAGGTAATGAGTGGAGAACAGGAGGGCTTCTTAAAGAAAAACTAACAGGTCTGTGAGAGCCGGAATTCTTATTGGATGATAGATGATCAAATACTTATGTCATGCAATAAAATGCAAATTAATTACTTAAAAATGATACAATGTGATTTTCTGGATTTTTGTTTTAGATTCTGTCTCTCACAGTTGAAGTGTACCTATGATAAAAATTACAGACCTCTACATGCTTTGTAAGTAGGAAAACCTGCAAAATCGGCAGTGTATCAAATACTTGTTCTCCCCACTGTACATATACATACACACACATACACAGCCTTCAGAAAGTATACACACAATACCCCATAATGACAAAGCAAAAATAGGTGTTTTGATTTTTTTGCAAATTTATAACAAATAAAAAACTGAAATATCACATTTACATGAGTATTCAGACCCTTTACTTTGCTGAAACACCTTTCGGAAGCGATTACAGCCTTCCTCCACAGAGGAACTCTGGAGCTCTGTCAGAGTGACCAGCGGGTTCTTTGTTCACCTCCCTGACCAAGGCCCTTCTTCCCCGATTGCTCAGTTTGACCAGGCAGCCAGCTCTAGGAAGAGTAATGGTGGATATAGACTTATTCCATTTAAAAATGATGAGGCTACTGTGTTCTTGAGGACCTTCAGTTCGGTAGAAAAACCTGGTTTTCGCTTTGTCATTATGGGGTATTGTGTGTAGATTAATGAGGAATTTGTTTTATTTAATCCATTTAATCCAAAATGTGGAAAAAGTCAAGGTATCTGAATACTTTCCGAATGCACTGTATATACAGTACCAGTCAAAGTTGACACACCTACTCATTCAAAGGTTTTTCTTTATTTTTACTATTTTGTACACTGTAGAATAATAGCGGGAGTATACGTGACAATTAGCTTTAATATTGCAGATAGAATGTGGCTTCCAACTTGAACAAACTTTCAAAGTTTTTGAAATGTTCCGTATTGACTGACCTTCATGTCTTAAAGTAATGATGGACTGTCGTTTCTCTTTGCTTATTTGAGCTGTTCTTGTCATAATATGGACTGGGTCTTTTACCAAATAGGGCTATCTTCTGTATACCATCCTACCTTTTCACAACACAACTGATTGGCTTAACACTTTTTTGGTTACTACATGATTCCATGTATGTTATTTCAAAGTTTTGATGTCTTCACTTATATTCTAAATGTTGGAACATTGTTACGGGGACTTGCTTTAATTTAGCAACAAGAGCATTAGTGAGGTCGGGCACAGACGTTGGGCAATTACGCCTGGCTCGCAGTCAGCATTCCAATTCATCCCAAAGGTGTTCGATGGGGTTGAGGTCAGGGCTCTGTGCAGGCCAGTCAAGTTCTTCCACACCAATTTCAACGAACATCTTCTGTACGGACCTCACTTTGTGCACGGGGCATTGTCATGCTGAAACAGGAAAGAGCCTTCCCCAAACTGTTGCCACAAAGTTGGAAGCACTGAATCGTCTAGAATGTCGTAGTGCTGTAGTATTAAGATGTCACTTCACTGGAACTAAGGGGCCTAGCCCGAATCATGAAAAAAAAAAACAGCCCCAGACCATTATTCATCCTCCACCAAACTTTACAGTTGGCACTATGCATTGGGACAGGTAGCGTTCTCCTGGCATCTGCCAAACCCAGATTCGTCCGTCGGACTGCCAGAAGGTGAAGCGTGATTCATCACTCAAGACAACGCGTTTCCACTGCTCCAGAGTCCAATTGCGGCAAGCTTTACACCACTCCAGCCGACGCTTGACATTGCGCATGTTGATCTTAGGCTTGTGTGCGGCTGCTCGGCCATGGAAATCTTTTTCATGAAGCTCCCGACTAACAGTTCTTGTGCTGGCGCTGCTTCCAGAGGCAGTTCGGAACTCGGTAGTGAGTGTTGCAACAGACGATTTTTAGACTCTACACGCTTCAGCATTCAGCGGTCCCATTCTGTGAGCTTGTGTGGCCTACCAATTCGCGGCTGAGCTGTTATTGCTCCTTGACGTTGCCACTTCACAATAACAGCACTTATAGTTGACCGGGGCAGCTCTAGCAGGGCATAAATTTGAACAACTAACTTATTGGAAAGGTGGCATTCTGTGTCGGTGACACGTTGAAAGTCACTGAGCTCTTCAGTAAGGCCATTCTACTGCCATTGTTAACTATGGAGATTGCATGGCTGTTTGATCAATTTTATACACCTGTCAGCAACGGGTGTGTCTGAAATGTCTACATACTTACAGTTGAAGTCGGAAGTTTACATACAGGGATGTAGCTCAGTTGATAGAGCATGGCGTTTGCAACACCAGGGTTGTGGGTTCGATTCCCACGGGGGGCCAGTATAAAAAGATATGTATTCACTAACTGTAAGTCGCTCTGGATAAGAGCGTCTGCTAAATGACTAAAAATGTTTTTAAAAAAAATACACCTTAGCCAAATACATTTAAACTCAGTTTTCACAATTCCTGACATTTAATCCTAGAAAACAATCCCTGTCTTAGGTAAGTTAGGATCACCACTTTATTTTAAGAATGTGAAATGTCAGAATGATAGTAGTTTTTCAGCTTTTATTTCTTTCATCACATTCCCAGTGGGTCAGAAGTTTACATACGCTCAATTAGTATTTGCCTTTAAATTGTTAAACTTGGGTCAAACGTTACGGGTAGCCTTCCACAAGCTTCCCACAATAAATTTGGTGAATTTTGGCCCATTCCTCCTGACAGAGCTGGTGTAACTGAGTCAGGTTTGTAGGCCTCCTTGCCCGCATACGCTTTTTCAGTTCTGCCCACAAATTTTCTATAGGATTAAGGTCAGGGCTTTGTGATGGCCACTCCAATACATTGACTTTGTTGTCCTTAATTCATTTTGCCACAACTTTGGAAGTATGCTTGGGGTCATTGTCCATTTGGAAGACCCATTTGCGACCAAGCTTTAACTTCCTCACTGATGTATTGAGATGTTGCTTCAATATATTCACATAATTTTCCTTCCTCATGATGCCATCTATTTTGTGAAGTGCATCAGTCCCTCCTGCAGCAAAGCACCCCCACAGCATGATGCTGCCACTCCCGTGCTTCACGGTTGGGATGGTGTTCTTCGGGCTTGCAAGCCCCCCTTTTTACCTCCAAACATAACGATGGTCATTATAGCCAAACAGTTCTATTTTTGTTTCATCAGACCAGAGGACATTTCTCAACAAAAAAACGAACTTTGTACCCATGTGCAGTTGCAAACCGTAGTCTGGTTTTTTATTGTGGTTTTGGAGCAGTGGCTTCTTCCTTGCTGAGCGGCCTTTCAGGTTATGTCGATATAGGACTCGTTTTACTGTGGATATAGATACTTTGTACCTGTTGTTTCCTCAAGCATCTTCACAAGATCCTTTGCTGTTGTTCTGGGATTGATTTGCACTTTTCGCATCAAAGTACGTTCATCTCTAGGAGACAGAACCCGTCTCCTTCCTGAGCGGTATGACAGCTGCGTGGTCCCATGGTGTTTATACTTGCGTACTATTGTTTGTACAGATGAACGTGGTACCTTCAGGCATTTGGAAATTGCTCCCAAGGATGAACCAGACTTGTGGAGGTCTACAATTTATTTGCTGAGGTCTTGGCTGATTTATTTTGATTTTCCCATGATGTCAAGCAAAGAGGCACTGAGTTTGAAGGTAGGCCTTGAAATACATCCACAGGTACAACACCAATTGACTCAAATTATGTCAATTAGCCTATCAGAAGCTTGTAAAGCCATGACATCATTTTCTGGAATTTTCCAAGCTGTTTAAAGGCAGAGTCAACTTAGTGTATGTAAACATCTGACCCACTGGAATTGTGATACAGTGAATTTGAATCTGTCTGTGAACAATTGTTGGAAAAATGACTTGTGTCATGCACAAAGTAGATGTCCTAACCGACTTGCCAAAACTATAGTCTGTTAACAAGAAATGTGTGGTTGAAAAACGAGTTTTAATGACTCAAGTGTATGTAAACTTCCGACTTCAACTGTATACAGTACCAGCCAAAAGTTTGGACACACCTACTCATTCAACGGTTTTTCTTTATTTTTACTATTTTCTACATTGTAGAATAATAGTGAATACATCCAAACTATGAAATAACAGATATGGAATCATGTAGTAACCAAAACAAGTGTTAAACAAATATATTTTATATTTGATATTCTTCAAAGTAGCCACCCTTTGCTGAATTGACAGTTTTGCACACTCTTGGCATTCTCTCAACCAGCTTCATGAGGTTGTCACCTGGAATGCATTTCAATGAACTGATGTGCCTTGTTAAAAGTGAACTTGTGGAATTTCTTTCCTCCTTAATGCAGTTGAGCCAATCAATGTGTTATGACAAGGTAGGGGTGGGTACCTATTTGGTAAAAGACCAAGTCCATATTATGGCAAGAAAAGCTCAAATAAGCAAAGAGAAACTACTGTCCATCATTATTTTAAGACTTGAAGGTCAGTCAACACGGAAAATGTCAAGAACTTTTCAAGTTTCTTCAAGTGCAGTCAGAAAAACCATCAAGCGCTATGATGAAACTGGCTCTCATGAGGACCGCCACAGGAAAGGAAGACCCAGAGTTACCTCTGCTTCAGAGGATAAGTTAATTAGAGGTACCAGCCCCAGAAATTTTAGCCCAAATAAATGCTTCACATAGTTCAAGAAACAGACACATCTCAACATCAACTGTTCTGACGAGATTGCGTGAATCAGGCCTTCATGGTCAAATTGCTGCAAAGAAACCACTACTAAAGGACACCAATAAGAAGAAGAGACTTGCTTGGGCAAAGAAACACGAGCAACGGACATTAGACCGGTGGAAATCTGTCTTTTGGTCTGATGAGTCCAAATTAGAGATTTTTGGTTCCAACTGCCGTGTCTTTGTGAGACGCAGAGTAGGTGAACGGATGATTTCTGCATGTGTGGTTCCCACCGTGAAGCATGGAGGCGGTGTGATGGTGTGGGGGTGCTTTGCTGGTGACACTGTCTGTGATTTATGTATTATTCAAGGCACACTTAACCAGCATGGCTACCACAGCATTCAGCAGCAATACGCCAGCCCATCTGATTCGCGCTTAGTGGGACTATCATTTGTTTTCCAACAGGACAATGACCGACCACCTCCAGGGTGTGTAAGGGCTATTTGAACAAGAAGGAGAGTGATGGAGTACTGTATCAGACGACCTCCACAATCACCCGACCTTAACCCAATTGAGATGGTTTGGGATGAGTTGGAACGCAAAGTGAAGGAAAATCTATCTATCTATCTATCTATCTATCTATCTATCTATCTATCTATCTATCTATCTATCTATCTATCTATCTATCTATCTATCTATCTATCTATCTATCTATCTATCTATCTATCTATCTATCTATCTATCTATCTATCTATCTATCTATCTATCTATCTATCTATCTATCTATCTATCTATCTATCTATCTATCTATCTATCTATCTATCTATCTATCTATCTATCTATCTATCTATCTATCTATCTATCTATCTAGCTATCTATCTATCTATCTATCTAGACCTCCACAAGTCTGGTTCATCTTTGGGAGCAATTTCCAAACGCCTGAAGGTACCACGTTCATCTGTACAAACAATATTACGCAAGTATAAACACCATAGGACCACACAGCTGTCATACCGCTCAGGAAGGAGACGCGTTCTGTCTCCTAGAGATTAATGTACTTTGGTGCGAAAAGTGCAAATCAATCCCAGAACAACAGCAAAGGACCTTGTGAAGATGCTGGAGGAAACAGGTACAAAAGTATCTATATCCACGGTAAAACGGTCATGTCCTATATCGACATGACCTGAAAGGCCGCTCAGCAAGGAAGAAGCCACTGCTCCAAAACTGCCATAAAAAAGCCAGACTACGGTTTGCAACTGCACAATGGGACAAAGATCGTACTTTTTGGAGAAATGTCCTCTCGTCTGATGAAACAAAAATAGAACTGTTTGGCCATAATGAACATTGTTATGTTTGGAGGAAAAAGGCGGTCGCTTGCAAGCCGAAGAACACCATCCCGGGGGTGGCAGCATCATGCTGTGGGGGTGCTTTGCTGCAGGAGGGACGGGTGCACTTCACAAAATAGATGGCATCATGAGGAAGGAAGATTAGGTGGATACATCTCAAGACATCAGTGAGGAAGTTAAAGCTTGGTCGCAAATGGGTCTTCCAAATGAACAATGACCCCAAGCATACTTCCAAAGTTGTGACAAAATGGCTTAAGGACAACAAAGTCAAGGTATTGGAGTGGCCATCACAAAGCCCTGACCTCAATCCTATAGAACATTTGTGGGCAGAACTGAAAAAACATGTGCGAGCAAGGAGGCCTACAAACCTGACTCAGTTACATCAGCTCTGTCAGGAGGAATGGGCCAAAATTCACCCAACGTATTGTGGGAAGCTTGTGGAAGGCTACCCGAAACGTTTGACCCAAGTTAAACAATTTAAAGGCAATGCTACCAAATACTAATTGAGTGTATTTCTGAAACACTGGGAATGTGATGAAATAAATAAATCATTCTCTCTACTATTATTATGACATTTCACATTCTTAAAATAAAGTGGTGATCCTATCTGAGGGGAATTTTTACTAGGATTAAATGTCAGGAATTGTGAAAAACTGAGTTTAAATGTATTTGGCTAAGGTGTATGTAAACTTCCGACTTCAACTGTATCTATCTATCTATCTATCTATCTATCTATCTATCTATCTATCTATCTATCTATCTATCTATCTATCTATTTATTATTGTATTTATCATTACCTTAGATACTTTATAAATATGCATTTAAGTGATATATTGTAGGCCCAAATCCTAACGCCTAGGTGGGTGTGTGTGTGTGTGTGTAACTCAAGTTGTTGCACAGATCTTCCGTTGACATCAATGCATGATTTATACCAAAGTCCAAATTTAGTGCACACATTTCAAGTTAGGATTCAGCCCAACATCAATCCCATTCTACTACTACTACTGACCACAATATCATTCAACTCAGCCCAATGTTTTTCATACAGCCCATTTGACAATAAAATGGAATGGAATGATGTGTTTATTTCCTTAACCCATTTCTACTGGTGGGTATGACTGCACGATTGGAGTATATGGAGGACCAGCTGCTGTCACGGAAATGAGGGATGTCATCCAAGTAACCCAACAAGAATGAGGAGATGCATTGAGTATAGAAGAGTCTTCCTGTCAAGAATGTAACAGTAAAAACACAGGTCCTGTCAATATTGAATTTCCATGATGTAAATGACCCAAAACAATATGTAATGTAGAATATCTTATTTCAGCGCATGAATGTTTACATGCACTGGACTTAAGTCATGTCAAGCACATCCATACTTAATGTAGAGGTAAGCACAGGCAACTAGAAAGTACAGCCATTGTTGATAACTTAAAACTCCAATATCGAACTTTTTGGGCGACCTGACCAAATTCACATAGAAATATGAGTTATAGATCTGTCATTGAAAGTAAGTCTAAGAAGCTGGTAGATCGGTTCTCTGTGGGCTATTTCTATGCTTCCCGGTCTTACGTTTCGTTTGTGCGTCTTTTACTTTCAGTTTTGTACATCTTCAAACAGCTGAAAATACAATATTTTAGGTTATGGAAAATGGTACAATGATTCTCTACACTATAATTGCTGATGTTGTCACTATAAACTTCAATTAGGCAAACTATTAGAATTTTTGCAACCAGGAAATGCTGGGGCGGTGTCTGCATAGTGCATCTTTAATACACAGTATTTTTCCATTCTCACACCAGTAGGTTTCTTTGTGCTCCATTTATCCTTAATCTGTTTTATATGGTTTGTTAATGTAATGTGTTTATAGCAAGTTTGATACCAGCAGTAGATATCTGGGAAAAGATAAATTAATAAGTATTATTATTACCACTCCATATGATTTGGCCAAAGTCATTTCAAATCACAAATCAGTGATTCAGTTATTTCAAATTCAGACGCATTCTCTCATAGAAATGATAGGAGAGATGTAAAGAGTACAAAGTAGGGTTCCTGGATTCACAAAAGTGAAACCAAGCATTACAAAATTACCCAGATCAAACCAAAACATTACTGTCAAGAGGATGACAGAGTTCTGTATTAATTTGAGCTCCAAAAATACATCCTAAATTAATCATTAAGATCACATTGATTGTTACTTTGTAACTATGTATGAAATTGAATGAGGTCATAGATTTACTGGTATATTATGTGAAATCAAAATACCACCACAAAGGAAGGGACATTTATGCTCCACTATTGCTGTGGTTTACTTTCTTTTAAATGGAGTGAGCTTTTACAGTTGAACTGATTTGCCCTATCTTTTAAGCATTTTACTACATTTTCTAGAGACCGAGAGAATGTCACTGAGCTATGTAAATGAACAATAGGGCCTTTTAGTTAGTTGTTGTTCTTTATTTAGTCTTGTATTAAACGACCATGTGAAAGATTTATACCCCTGTATTTGGTTACCTGTACTTTTTGTATTTATTCTAATAACCTTTGTTGTAATGGTTGAAGACTCTTTATTCTGGCACAGATGGCAATAAAGACTGAACTGTTCGCTGTGTTGTTTCTTCCTTAACTCTGAACCGACTCGTAGGATCATTGCAACCAGAGAGCAGTCACCCCGTAATTGGGCTGAGAAGTATTGTGGTGTGTACCCCTGAGGGACTAAATTGACAAGTAATGTGTAATGGGAACATGCTTCATTATTGTTTGCAAACAGAGACATACTTTATGGTGATCAACTTCAGTTTTTATCTCCATAGACGTTCTAATAAGTCCCTGGGATGCCATGTTTTCTTTTCACAAGTGTCCTGCCATGGATAACCTTTGTCAGTAGCTTCTAATTAAGGCTAATGGGATAGAGCTCCCCTTTCAATTACTGTTGTTTGCCGACTCCCAGCTAAGACTGGAGAATGTGAAATGCCAGATGGTCCCCCAAGCCTTGGTAAAGACATGTTAATTGTCCCAATAGGTAGTCTGGCCTTCGACTCTCACAAGGAGCTGTGGAAAAACATAAGCCTCTAAAGTTTTCAGTCTGGTGTAACATTGCCAAGTGAGCGGAAGAAGCAGACCTCAGACAAGGAAGTGTTGGCACACAGCATATAGCTGTGTAAAAGTAAAACCACTTCCTGAAACACCTGTATTGATTCAGCTGCCCTTCATACCATGCTTTATGTGTTGGTTTACTGGGTTTGATTACAGAACATTGAGCTGAAGAGCACAATGTTCAGCCAATCAAATCATTTGTTTTGGCCTCAATGGCCATGATGGCACAAGGCCAGTCACATACAGTGGGGAAAAAAAGTATTTGGTCAGCCACCAATTGTGCAAGTTCTCCCACTTAAAAAGATGAGAGAGGCCTGTAATTTTCATCATAGGTACACGTCAACTATGACAGACAAAATGAGAAAATAAAATCCAGAAAATCACATTGTAGGATTTTTTATGAATTTATTTGCAAAGTATGGTGGAAAATAAGTATTTGGTCAATAACAAAAGTTTCTCAATACTTTGTTATATACCCTTTGTTGGCAATGACACAGGTCAAACGTTTTCTGTAAGTCTTCAATAGGTTTTCACACACTGTTGCTGGTATTTTGGCCCATTCCTCCATGCAGATCTCCTCTAGAGCAGTGATGTTTTGGGGCTGTCGCTGGTCAACACAGACTTTCAACTCCCTCCAAAGATTTTCTATGGGGTTGAGATCTGGAGACTGGCTAGGCCACTCCAGGACCTTGAAATGCTTCTTACGAAGCCACTCCTTCGTTGCCCGGGCGGTGTGTTTGGGATCATTGTCATGCTGAAAGACCCAGCCACGTTTCATCTTCAATGCCCTTGCTGATGGAAGGAGGTTTTCACTCAAAATCTCACGATACATGGCCCCATTCATTCTTTCCTTTACACGGATCAGTCGTCCTGGTCACTTTGCAGAAAAACAGCCCCAAATCATGATGTTTCCACCCCCATGCTTCACAGTAGGTATGGTGTTCTTTGGATGCAGCTCAGCATTCTTTGTCCTCCAAACACGACGAGTTGAGTTTTTACCAAAAAGTTATATTTTGGTTTCATCTGACCATATGATATTCTCCCAATCCTCTTCTGGATCATCCAAATGCACTCTAGCAAACTTCAGACGGGCCTGGACATAAGCATGGGGACACGTCTGGCACTGCAGGATTTGAGTCCCTGGCGGCATAGTGTGTTACTGATGGTAGGCTTTGTTACATTGGTCCCAGCTCTCTGCAGGTCATTCACTAGGTCCCCCCGTGTGGTTCTGGGATTTTTGCTCACCGTTCTTGTGATCATTTTGACCCCACGGGGTGAGATCTTGCGTGGAGCCCCAGATCGAGGGAGATTATCAGTGGTCTTGCATGTCTTCCATTTCTTAATAATTGCTCCCACAGTTGATTTCTTCAAACCAAGCTGCTTACCTATTGCAGATTCAGTCTTCCCAGCCTGGTGCAGGTCTACAATTTTGTTTCTGGTGTCCTTTGACAGATCTTTGGTCTTGGCCATAGTGGAGTTTGGAGTGTGACTGTTTGAGGTTGTGGACAGGTGTCTTTTATACTGATAACAAGTTCAAACAGGTGCCATTAATACAGGTAACGAGTGGAGGACAGAGGAGCCTCTTAAAGAAGAAGTTACAGGTCTGTGAGAGACAGAAATCTTGCTTGTTTGTAGGTGACCAAATACTTATTTTCCACCATAATTTGCAAATAAATTCATTAAAAATCCTACAATGTGATTTTCTGGATTTTCTTTTCTCAATTTGTCTGTCATAGTTGACGTGTACCTATGATGAAGATTACAGGCCTCTCTCATCTTTTTAAGTGGGAGAACTTGCACAATTGGTGGCTGACTAAATACTTTTTTTCCCCACTGTATGAGCCTACCTATGACCCTCCTGTGGGTCCTGAAGTGGGGCCCACTACACCTTTAATACCAAACAGTCTGTGTGGCCTTGTATATTCACCGGGTGTTAAATGCATCACGGTTGAGTTGTTTTGGTTTATTTGGGATGAAAAATAAAATGTTTTAATAATCACATCAAGTGATAAATCATAGATGAGTGGACAGAATATATACCAAATATTCCACTCTTTAAAACGGAATAGTAAAAGAGACCCCAAAAAAACAAACTTGCATTTTGCAATTAAGCACTCAGTAAACAATGCCAGCAATTTACTGGAAAGAGTTCTTCATCGAAACAATAGCAGTTGTACATAGCTGAATATGTTGTAACCTTTTTAAAATCAGTGCATGGTCTACAGTATCAAAATGCCTTTAAGTTAATAAACAGACTTGCACAGTGTTATTTAGAGTCTAAAGCACTGATGATATATAACTTTGGTGAAGCAGTTCATTTGAGGAGTCAAAACCCTTTAGCAACTAATACATTAACAGTGATGTTTCCCTATTCGGGAACCACAAGAAACTTGCTGGTAAAATAAATTAACCTCTTAATGATCTGACCCTTTTTTTCAATTTTCGCCTAAAATGACATTCCCAAATCTAACTGCCTGTAGCTCAGGACCTGAAGCAACGATATTCATATTCTTAATACCATTTGAAAGGTAACACTTTGAAGTTTGTGGAAATGGGAAATTAATGTAGGAGAATATAACACATTAGATCTGGTAAAAGATAATACAAACAAAAAAACATGTGTTTTCTATTTATTTTTTGTTCCATCTTTGAAATGCAAGAGAAAGGCCACAATATAATATTGCATTTTAGGCACAATTTAGACCACTAGAGGGCAGTGTGTGTGCAAAGTTTCAGATTGATCCAGTGAAGCATTGCAATACTGGACTATTTTGTATCAAGTCTGCCCAAATGTGCCGAATTGGTCAATTGATACATTTTCAAGTTCATAACTATAGAGAACATACAAAAATGATATGGTAATACAAAATGTAAGTTTACACACTCCCAGGAATGTCATACATAATGGGTCATTAGCTTATACACTAACATTCACACATCTAGATTGCCGGGTGTGGAGCCAGAGACAGCAGGGGTTCAAACTGTAGAACGCAGTTCGTACATTTGAATATAAAAATGGATTTTATCAAACAAAACTATGGTAAATTTTAGATCTGGGAACCTTAGGGTGACAAATCAGAGCAAGATTACTGAATGTAAGTACATTATTTACCTTCAGAGGTGAATGTATCAAACCAGTTGCCGTGGTAAGTTTTTTGTTGTTGTGCACTCTCCTCAAACAACAGCATGGTATTTTTTCACTGTAATAGCTACTGTAAATTGGACAGTGCAGTTAGATTAACAAGAATTTAAGCTTTCTGCCCATAAAAGACATGTCTATGTCCTGGAAAGTTTGCTGTTACTTACAACAGTCACGCTAATCACATTAGCGCACGTAAGCTCAACCGTCCCGTATATGGGACACGT